GATGCAGCTGTTTCCCACGGACAGGAACCCTTCGTGGACAGGAACCCTTCGTTCCTTCCCACCTCGCTTTGTTTTTCTCTGTTACGGTGAAGACGGATGTCGGTGGTTTCCAAGGGCTGAGGAAATGGTTCTTCTAGCTTCTGGAGTCCAGGGCCCAGAGATTGAAGGTAGGTACCCAGCCGGAGCTTTGTATTACCTTCGTGCCTTCCATCTCAACGACACCACTCACTCGCTTCCTGCCGTATCGTGCTAGGTGTTGTACACAGTAGACGGAAGGAACAAAGGGGCAAGGGAGGGACCCTGAATATCTCCTCCGTCAAGTTGATTACTCGGAAGCACCGCAGTGGGCGATATGGCCATGGCTGGTTTTCTCGCTGCAACATTGCAATTCACTCTGAATTGCAGGGCCCCGTTGGCTTTCCACTTCGCTCTTGACCGAAACTTTGTGTTTTACAGCACGCACGGTAACTACTGCACTGCCTTGTGTTCAGTGTTGCACACTGCAAAGTTGCGGAAAGCCAGCATCACCCATTGATCGATTTGTCGCACTACCAAGGTCTTGGCTTTTTTACGTTTACATCACGCCCCTTGCGCCGAATATTCGTCGTCGGTCCGCGGCAGCTCTAAACTGAATGGCGGCTAGCGCCTGCGTCGTCGTCGTCGTTCACAGATTGTCCTCATCGTCATATTCCCCATAAACATTCATCACCGCACATGCGCGCACGGAGAAGATGATGTGAATCGGAATCCCTCTTGGGATGCACCATCCACATGTCATCGGAACCCCTACCAACAATGGGTCACTTTCGAGCTTCACATTGTCTCCGACTCTCCGTTCGAATGGCGGATGGCTGGTACTAGGGAGAATCTAAAGACTGCAGCTACGCATCCATCCCTACGGTATACTGGAGCACAATGAACTGGGAGACCCCCACTGGGTCAAACCCACGATCGCCCGTCATCGCGATCCTTTTGGTGCCTTTCCACTGCGGTATTGCCTGTCCATCCACACGCCTCATCCCTGGCCTGGGTGGTGGCCGCCGTCTGAGACACCGAGAGGTAGTCGCATAGTGAGGCTCTCCGCTGCGTCGCAACGAACCGACGCCACCAACCGACTGAACCGTCTCTCCCGATCCCGCGAACAGACGGTCGCAGATCACACACGCTGCCGCCCGAATCGCCATGCTATGCCGGCATACCTACACGCCAGGGGAGGAGCATGAAGACGGGCGGGCGGGTAAAACACCATCACATACGCACATGGCCGCCACTTTTCGCGCACGGCATCCCTTGCTGCACTTGACTGCCGTGCGAATACCACGAAGTGCCTTAAGTAGTGTGTCTAGCAGCATCAAGTTTGCAAGCCACCCTCAACAGAAATAGCGTCCGATGGCTATAATGCATGCCTGTTGCCAAAGCCCAATCTACTGTGGAAAGGCCCGAAGAGACCAGAGACCAGCGTGTCACCAGTGCCAGCACCAGCCAGTGACGACAGATGCTCTCACCACCTTCTCTTAGCACACATATCCTCTCTCGAGGTTGTGCAAGATACTTGGCACTAATTGGGACGACGGTGAATTACAGAAGCCCGAAGCGCGGGAGAACAACTGCCAGTGGCAGAAAAGAGACTAACGCCAGGCCAAACTCGTCTCGATACGAGGGACTACCGCAAATCCATTCCACGAGCGGAAACCATGGCAGAACCGGTGTGTCTTGGCGGCCGCAAGAACAACCTCTGGACCTCTGGATTCTCTGAAGTTTGCCCTGATCTGATTCTGGTGTACGTGTGTGCTTGTCTACCACTGGCACTTCTGGCAATCCTGCGTGTGTCTGCAGTGGCTAATCAGCGGATGGCTCACTCGATCTTTTGATGCGAAAAGTGGCCATCACCCGCCCTTGTCACATCGACACGCATGCAAAACAACCAACCAATCCACCTCGGATTTCGGACTGCATAATTCGCCTGCCAATGAAAGGGGTCTCTGTGCCTCAGGTCATTCAGCTGGGTGGACCGCGAAGGAGGATGACTCCTCAGGCTCCTTCCTCCTGATCTCGAGCTTCCAGAGTCGGTTCCTTCCTCGCGTTGGGTCATCTCCAACAAAAAACACGCACCTTCCTTCTCGTTCAAATTGCGGGTTGAATGGACCGACGGTCGGGTGCAGGTGCGACATGCGTGGGTGGGTGCTCTTTCCTCTTGCTGTGGTGGACCCCCACTCTACCTTAAGGTAGGTTGCCCGTCTCTCAACATGGCCCCACCTATCACGGCTGACGTCACACGGCGTCTTTCCTGGACCTTCCATGTTCCGCATTCGACGACGGCAAAACGGGTCCTCCTCGCCCGTTTTTTTCCCCTGCCAAGACACCAGGACCCGGCCGCTGAGCCCCTAACCCTCAGCTCGGCCCACCGTCCCCCGAATCTTTGGAAGCTCACTGTTTCCAACGCCCGGTGCCGTCACTGTCCGACGTCGCTGGGTTTGGCCCACGACCGACAGTCTGCCGAATCTTCAGACACGGAGCCCAACCTCGTTCACCTCCCATTATCCATGGTATCGCCGTATCCATGATCCCCCCCCTCGTCCGCAATGTCCTGGACTCCAGAACGTCCAGAAGAGTTTTCAGAATTTCTGCTCTCTCCCCAGATCGTTGAGTCGGTCTGGACCTTCGACACCAAACTGAGCTCCGCAGGCTCATCTTGTCAAGCTTCCTACGGAGTACACTCCAGTCAGCAAGTAGAAGTCGGTCGGTCGGATCCATCGACGATACCACAGAGTCACGGATCACTCGCAGATGGATCAAGAGAGAGATGACTGCAGTCACAACAACAGAATATGAGACAAGGAGTGCAAGGGTTCCTCACCAACCACTCAGGCCACAGTACGGATACACCAACCCAATGCTGCTCGCCGCAATTCACAGGCTGTCGTCAAATCTTGAGCCGTTTCAGCACTGAACACCACAGCCTACGAATACCTCACAGTCTCACGGCCTTACCACCACGATTTGACGCTTTGAGACATGCCTTATCTCGCCTCAATACCAGCACGGCGATAACGCACTCTAGCGTCCTTGGAATTCCGACCCTCCTGAAAATCTCTCTTTTCCCACATCTCTAGCTGCCTTAGTGCCAAAAGGGTTCCGACGCAGTGCGACGCACAGGTTACAACACACCAGCCCGAATTAATCACCACGTCACTCTCCGGCTTGCCCTCTTTAGACTTCCGCCTGCCCGTTTTCTCTCATTCGCGCCCTGAAGCCGTTTGCCACCACCGCCATCACCCATTCCAATGGTAGCGGACGGTACATCGCTTGCCGCTGGAAGAATGTGGGATGCAGGTACCAAGCACACTGTTCGCCCATAATGGTTGCAGCCACCGAAAAAGTTTTCTCCAAATCGATGGTGTTGGGCTCCCAAAATAGCTACACATCTCTTCCATCGTCAATTGGCAGTTGGCAGTGACAGTCGAAAAGAAAATCAGGTTCATCATTGGGAAGCCGCAGTTCATCGCAACTCTTGAGTGGCTATGTCAGCAACAACCCAAATCAATAGGACCGCAAGGACCATTTCAGAAATTCTATGCCGGTCGGGGAAACTCGATCGGCATCAAACGATCGAAGCTGTCTATCACACCAGTTGCTCTACCGTCAAAGTACGCGTCTAGAAAACTTGCCAGCATGTCGTCATGCTCTGCCGCATATCAGCGAACCAGACAGATGCTGTAACGGCCGGCGCGCTGCTCATGCTCAGATTCGACATTCAAGCTTTCGTTCCCCGAGCTCGTCTACGCGCATCTCCCGGATAGCAATCCCACGCCCGCATATTCACTTCCCATCAAAGTGGTGATCGGCGTCAGCCCGGGAGGACAGCTCAGAGCAAGCAGATCCCTCGACCCACGATTCTCCGACTGGGAAAATGAGTGACAAGCATCGTCAGCCGCCAGAATTCGTGTCCGCTTTTTCTCGTAGCGATCTCAGCGAGCCCTTGACCTCCACGACCTCGTACCCTTGATTGCGAAGCCGCTTAAACCAGGCGCAATAAGATTGAGAAGAGCCAGACCGCTCCTTGGCCCTGCTAATTGCTCAACGTTCTAGACGAATCAACACGCCATCCACTGCCCGTGCTATCGCTCGCGACCGCGCCATATCAAGCCAGAATCCATCCAATATCCCTTGCCGACGATGTGCCCTGACCTTGCGCTTCAGGGCTCCCTTCCGGGGACCAGCAGCCGCCCGCCTAGCGCATATGAGAGCAAACGCACGCCAGCCCACCGGTCTATGGAGTACCGGAGCGGAGGACAGCCGCCCCGACGCGACAGCGACGTTTCTTCACATGCAAGGCTCCTGACGCGAAACACCCTGAACCCCCCCCCCCCCCTAATTTTCGACGACGTGCGACCACCATGCCTGTGCCCCGTGCGGCGATTACGGGAGTGAAAGAAGAGGATCCAATGAAGAGAGTTTGCTTTATCTCTCGACAAGACCGCTAATGCGAATCATATTGGCGCTGTCTCGGGTCCATGCCGTCCATGCTTTTGCTTTGCTTTTCTTCTGCCATGCAATTTGTTTAGAGGGGACGACACTCTGCCATACTTTTTCGTATATCAAACTCTACCCCTGAGATGCTGCATAACCCATAGTGAAGGAGGCGTCGCAACTCCTGCAACGCGACCACACACTTGCAAGCTCAAAGTCAATTGTAATTTGGGTGGGCTACGAGATGAAAGTAGCAAAGAAGGACATTGATACATCATACTTCTATTGCCTGTCAGTGAGAGCTTATGGAACATAGTTGAAATTCGGCGATAATTATATGTAGATTTTAATTATGCCTGCAAATGCTGTCAAGTAGAGTTTCAATGTACCAAAAAGTCACATCATACAAGAAATTGAAAGTCACAGTCGCCTTCTGAACGTGCCATATACCTTGGAGCGGACGAGAAAAAATGCTACAAAACCCTAGCCCACTCCACTCTTCGTTTCTTCAGACTTTTGACAATGCTGCTTCAAAGGACGTCGACAACCTCGACCCATTGAACCGACACAGGACCCTTGAGTCCATACTCCCCGGCCGGGTGAGCCTCGAAAGAACTCGCACCCGCAACAGAAGCAGCAACTCCAAACGTCATGATGCTATCCTGCTCCGCTCTCACGCGATTACACAACGTCGAAGCAACTCCTACCCTGACCACGTTGTCGGCGCCCGCGGAGGGGTTCAGGTAGTCCGTGATGTCCACCACAACGTCGGGCGAGCTGTTCACGTCGAGGATGACTCTCTCGTCGCTGACCCAGAGTGTCGTTGCGTCCGTGATAGCGCCTAGGTGAAGATGAGCTCCCAGGCGTTGTGCCGCGATAGATGAGGATGGGGTTCTGAATGTGGTTTCGTAGTATGCTGTTCCGCTTGTGTTGCCTAGGTTCACGGGGTCTAGATCTTTCCAGGGCGCTAGCGGACTGGGGGGTAATCGGTGCGCTGTGACCACGGTCTCCATGGAGAGAGAGTCATTGCTACTGCTCCAGTCATTGACTGTTATGTTCCATGTGTCGAGGTCTGTTGCTTCTGGGAGCTGAGAGGTAGTGAAGGTTAGGGTTTGGCCGGTGGCGAGGGTAATATTCGTGGTACCGGGGGCGAGGTGTGCTGTGATGCCGCTGATGCGGGTATTTTTCGTCGTGGTGTTTGTGGTGAGGTCTTGAGACGTGGTGTAAAGGAGGCCTTGAAGGGGGCCAGATGTTGATATTATGTGAGTGTTTGGTGGACGAGGCAGGAAGGATGTGTTATGTTCATCATCCGCGGATGAGGTGTGGTTGAAGAAGACGAGGATGACAGTCTGATTCGGGGCGAGCGTCACCGGCACGACATTCTTGTTCTCCTTAACGGTGTACTGTAAAAGTGGTGACGCTGAGCCTGTCCAGGCGTCGAGGACGTACGGTGTCCCGCCCGCCGTATCGAGGAAGCTGACGTTCGTAGTCGTGGAGTTTTCCCCGTCGTTGTATAAGAACACGACTTCCGCGTCCTCTGTGCTTCGCGAGAAGGAGTACCACTTGTCAGTAGTACTCTCTTCCAGAAACGAGACCCGAGGCCGAATGTTGAGAGCAGCGAGAGCAGCTGGTAAATCCTCCGCAGAAGCAAGCACCGTCACGCCCTCCATCTCAAGGACCTTTGCCATGATCTTCGGAACAGTATCAGCCCCATTCACACCAATGCTCTGAAAATCCGCACTACCGACAACGAAGATGGGCAAGCCTGCCTCCGCGAATGCTCTCGTCTGCGCCGCCATCTCCGGCGTCAATTTTGTCTGGTTGGCAAAGATGAGTGCTTTATACGCGGGGCCATCCGGCGCGAGAACGCCCTCCTCGCTGACGACCGCGTTCGAGGAAGAGAAGCTCGCGGGGCCGATATAGTCGTACGTGAAGCCCATCTTCTCGAGGTTATCACTCTTGTAGACTACCTTGGCGAACGGTGCAGCGTACTGGTAGAACGCGAGATCGACTCTCGCGGTACCAACTTGACTAACAAACTGGTTCCTCGCAACATACGCCATCGCATCAGCCATAAATCCAGCACTGGTGCTGTTACCACCCTCCCCAGCGTGATGACTCCCCCTCCACGCCGGCATCCGCAGCCCCCACATCTCGGTAAACGTGTACGCGAAGACGGTATACCCGGGCCACGTCGTCTGCGCGTAGACGCCCGAGTACGCGTACCCGTGGAGGACATTCATACTCACCCCGCCGGCGAGACCGCGGCGGACGGTGCGGAGGAGGTCCGCGATGGTCTGGGTGTAGGATGCGCCGTTGACGGCGCCGGCTTCGGAGGAGACGACGGGGTTACTGGCCATGTGGGCTGGGCCGGAGAGGTGGCGGTAAAGGGAGGGGGAATCGTTGAAGCCGAGGGATTCGCCTTCAGGTGCATTGACGAGGGGGGTTGAGTCGAGCATGTTTAGGGGCAGGTTGTAGGCTGGCTGGTTGGAGTATTCTAGTCCCCGTTCGTAAGCCCATTCTGAGGTTGTGCGGATGTAGTCTTCGTATCCGGCTTGGAGTGTGAGGCGGTAGTCGTCGTTGCAGCGCGAGACCAGCGTGCTGTTGCTTGGTGAGAGGAAGGATTCGCCGTAGGGCAGATTCTGCGCGGCCCAGTAGTTTTCGCGTTGGATGAGGAAGGGGAGGCAGGTTGCAATGTCGTAGCCCTGTTGTGTGTGGAACGCGTCGGCGAAGTTGTGTGTCCACCAGAGGGCTGTATCCATCTCCATGCTGTCTTCCCAGGCTTGAAAGATTTATGCTTTAGCCACGGCTTCTGGACTTGACGAGTAGTTTGAGTCTCATCCGTTGGATGTTTTACATACCATACTTCCCCACGCGAGCGAGTAGCTCTCTATCCTCCTCCTCGGGGATGATGTACTCGTCAAAGAAACCCGTCAGCTTCTTCGCCCCCGCGGCGCTGAAGTGGTCGGTGACCCAGGACCCGTTCTGCACCCACGTTGCGGCATCGGGTGCGGCTTCGATGGAGCGCTGGTTGGTGTAGCGTGTGTACCATGCCATTATACGCCATGTGTTCTGTGAGTCTTTGGGGGTCGTCCAGGAGACTGATCTCGTGGACGGGTCGACTAAGGTGGTGATGTCGATGACGCGGCCGAGGTTGACGGCGGTTGACGAAGCGTTGGACCCTGGTGCTTGTTCTACGGCTAGGACGAAGGAGAGGTTCTGCTGGCCGAATTCCTCGCAGGGGTGCATGAAGAGGTGGAGGGACGGGCTCGCGGGTTGGGTCGAGAGCGGGAGAGTGCCGTTGAAGGCGTGTCCTGGAGTGACTGTTATGTTGACATATGCCTAACAAAGTGGTGTTAACCATTCCCAGTTCCCATACTCCATGAGATTTATATGAGAGAGACAAGTGTATGGGTCTTGAGAATGAGATGAAGAAGTAGGATAGTCAACACTCACCAACTCCAACGCCAGCCCAATACTCTCAGGCTCCGAAGGAACGCCCTGCCCCTGATTCGCGCCAATCGAAAAGTCAAAGAGAATATCATTGTCCGCGACCGCCTGCATCGCCGCGCGGAAGACGCCGCGAGACGCGTTTGTGCCGTAGCCGTAGGTGGACCAGTTTGCCGATGGCGAGTGGAACTGGTAGTAGGGTAAGAACTCAAGGCCGCCGGCGCCGACGGCTGCTATCTCTGCCACGTCGCGGGTGACTGCTTCGATGTCAACTTCGGCATCGGGTAGCCTTGTGTAGGATGAGATGTTAGTGCTCAAAAAGTCAGGGGGGCACTGGACTGGGTAGAGTAGATCGCACCAGTATCTGAACTTTGGGCGGTAGGTGTTTGGAGGGGAGACGAAGTTGTCGAGGCTGTGGGCTTCAGACATCGTTGTTAATGACGCTGTGAGCGTGGCGAGGGATCGTAGACCACGCATGACATCTGCTTGGAGGAACAGAGTCCGTGAGAGCATCGAGATTCTTGTTCTCCTGCAAGCTGAGATCAGCAGGGCTGCGGCTTCCTTTTAAGAAGCGTCATTGACTGAATACGCGGGTCTTGGATCGCATCGTTGCCCTCATCGGAAGGACTTCTCCAACGGAACCATACTAGTCATCATAGAAGATGGTACGTGGCTGCGTGATGTTCTTTACGAGATGGATCTACGGATGTACATGAAGTCTCGCAAGCAAATTACCCAAGACTCCATTCCAAAACCCTGTACGGTGGCTTCATCAAGATTAGGTGTATACGAAATCGAAAACATGACGGTCTATACGCGTACAGCATCGGGCCTTCGTCGAAATATCTTGGGAAATATCAGGAAGGGAGGACTTTGGTGAGTCTCAAGGGCTGAACTCCGCGGGTGACGACCTTAGGCGGCGGTGAAATTGCTCCATCATGCATCCAATTTGCCAGTACTGCAAGTAGGGTTGCAGGACATCGCCATTAGCTGCGCGGAATAGTTGGACTGCGAGTGCTTTCTCCGTAATACATGCTTGAAGTTGCCACTTCTCCGGGAAGACGATACCCGTCGTCATAATGTAGGCCGAGACCATGCTTGCAAGGGCCGGCAATGCAACGGCGATGCGGGGCATACGAATGCGAAAACGCGGGTTCGCGGCCCCGTGGAGTGCGGGTCCGAACCCGCGCTTTCTATATCTCTTCCGCCACGGGGTAATCACTCAGCATCCTTGAGACAACTCGTCTTTCTAAGATTCATTGCATCCTTACTTCTGGTTCTCTATTATGGCCTGTTTTCTCATCAATCCACACCAAAGCCGTCAATCATCTGGTGGGGAACAGGTTTTGAGAGGGGTAAATGAGGGACGGAGCAGCTGATGCCAGTGTGCGTACTATTCATCCAAGGTATGGTACGCTTAAGTAAGTGCATAGTCAATTTCAACCTCATCCGTCTTCCACCGTCGTTTGGCTAGTGAGTTACTTCGAAACTTTCCGACAAGCCTTCCTCTCGCGACATGAGTACCATGGACAAGGCCGTTGCCGTCGTTCAACAAAACCGACAGCTCATTGTGGAAAACGTCGCGCTACCGGAGCTACAACCTCACCAAGTCTACGTCAGTGTCGAGTGGGCAGCGTTCAATCCCACAGATCGTATGTCATCCCGGCCATAATCTCCAAAACCCTGCAATCCTCAACCCTCAAACCAGTCGGCTCTGAATTCGGCTTTGTGTTTGAACTCGTAGCTTACTCATTCCTCAACAGGACTTGCGTTCGACGTCGATGCATTTGGAGACGGTGCCGTTCTAGGCTGTGACTTTGTCGGCACTGTTATAAAAGCCCACCCAAATGTGAGCAGAGTTCTGGTTGGTGATAGAATCGCCGCGTTAGTGTGGGGAGGTGAGCCATTCCAGGATTCCCACCGGATTTTGCATTGCTGACTTAAGACTTGTACTTCATAGGAGAAATCAAGGGTGTTGGGGCGTACTCGTAAGTGTTCGTTCGCAATCGCTTCAAGCAGCTTTCCTCACAAATCATGAATTGCACAGGTCCTATTGCATCGCCGACGAGCGCATCTCTTTCAAGGTTCCGAGCGCTGTCAAGAGTCCCAAGGCCAGCGCCGTTCCGCTCGCCGCAAACACTGCGTACCTGGCACTATTCTCTGAAGATTGCCTCGGTTTCTCGCGGGATGTATCTACTACCAAGCCTCCTGTGCTAATCTGGGGCGGCAGCTGTAAGTAGTTGGCTTCTCGAACATGACGGCTCACTCAACAAAGAAGATTCAGTCGACTGACGACGATTTCAACATAGCTGTCGTCGGATACTTCGCCGTCCAACTAGCCAAGCTTCACGGTTATCCCGTAGCCATCACCTGCAGCCCTCGCAACTTTGACTACGTCAAGAATGCCGGAGCTACCCATGTCTTTGATTACAACGACACCGACGTAGTGACGAAACTCCAGACTGCATTACCGACGCTATCACACATCTTCGACACCATTGGAAACGCAAGCTCCTCAGCGACGGCAGCCGCTGCGCTAGACGGCAGACCTGGAGTGCTCTGTACAGTCCGCCCGGGCAAGGCAAACACCGAGGAGGTTCCGAGAAACATCAAAGTAACTGATGTTTTCGTCTTCACTGCGTTTCCGACGGCTCATACGTACCGCGAGTTGGTGCATTGGCCTGTATGTATTTGCCGTTCTCCTCCCCCCCCCCCCCATGGACATCCGTCATATGATGTCGCCAGGCCCGAGTCGCTTACACACCGTGTCCACAGGTCTCAATGCCGAATCATCTACTCAGTGCTGAGATGTACGAGCGGCTCCCTGGTCTGCTTGAGAGCAATGCCATCAAGCCGCCTCCGGTAAAGGTGCTCGGAAGAATAAGCCCTCAGTCAGTAAATGAAGCAATGAAATTGAATCGTGACGGAAAGATATCTGCGGAGAAGCTTTGCTTTGATGTCTCTTCTGCTTTCGGCGAGCAGAACGTGTAAGTCAACTAGTCCTAGACGCCGATAGTTCCAGACAATAAGTGAATGCTCGGGCTATTGATGGCGTAATAGGCGCAAAGCCAAGGCAGGTACGAGTGGTTTGCAAACGGCTATGAACTAGGCGAGTGGCTCGGTTACATTCGAGAGGGGTCCCCAAGAGATAGTCTTGCGCAGTCAGTCCAATCTCAAATACCTCTTGCTCAGTCCTGGATAACCACAAGTCATCCGATGATACGAGCCTCACGCTTCTTCCCCCCTTTCTCAGCCTCTTGAGCTGTCGAGCAACTAAACAAGTTGAAAGCTCTTCGCGACTCGACCTGAAAATTGCGCGCTTCAGCATTGATGAGACTCTTCTTTGAGCGCCTCTAGATGCAGCACCGACATCTCCCTCGATCACAGGAACCAAGTCGTCGTCCAGGACAAGGTGATTGAAGCCACCACCCCTGGACATCCTACCATGTAGAGATCCACCAGGGAAATCAGGCACATCGCAAGCGAGCGAGGCTGTGCTCTCGGTTGAAGCTTAACAAGCCCCCCTGACATGCGGAGCCCCAAAGCCAGAATTTACGCCATTGCGGACTGTTCCAACGCGGAAGTCGGTGGCGGAGGGGAGCGGAAATTCTTGGGAATGAGACTCCACGAAATCTATCCACTACAACGGAGGAACCCCGACGGATGTTGCAGCGTTCCACTCCCGAGCCACCGACCCAGTTCTAGTATCACTAACCGAAATCACATCGAGTTTCGAAGGAGCGAGTAGTGTATACTCAAGTTGAGCAATGGGCAGTCTTTGTGAACATGTTTGTCAATTCTCTCTTTAATGGAGCGCTCTAATGACTTGTTAAGCCTCTCGATCATCAATCCTTGTGACGATCTGTGGAGCTCACTATCTCTATTCTTAGTGTGCTTCACCGCTCAGGCGTCTCCATCGTTTTCACATCTACTGACCGTCGGGTTCTGCCGTGCCTGACAGCTCAGGCAAAGAATCCAACGACGAAGCACGTGATAGCAGTTGCATCAACTCAAGAATGTCTCCTCATCCTCGGACGGTGGATTCGTATCCTTGGACGGTCCTAAGCCAACGCGATGCTGAAGTCCTCTCCAACGCGGGCAGCAACTCTGCCTACAACAGCGTAGGCAGCGCGGCCCTTCTCGGCAGCGTGGTACTGAACAGGGACAGTCCAGCTCTTGCCCTCCGACGTGACCGTAACCTCCTTCTTGTTGAGCTGGTTGGTAGCGCCGACAACAATGATCTTGTCGACATAGACCTCCTTCATGGCCTTGAGCCAGGAGCCCTCCTTAACGGACTTGGAGTCACGGCCCTCGGCATCGGAGGATACAATGGTCTTGCCGTCAAGCTTGAACTTGCGGTAGATGTACTGACCCTTCTCAAAGTCAAACGAGTCTCCGTCATCGACGTAAAGCTCACCCTCGGCCTCACCATCCTTGCCAACGCTGATGACCAGGGTGTAGTCGTCGAAACGCATCAGCTTGGCCGAGCGGCGGGGACGGTCACGACGAGGGAAAATGTGGCCACCACGCATCAGAAGCGCGATCTGATCGAGAGCAACATCCCTGGTGAGATACTGGCCCTTCTTGGTGGCGAGCTTCTCGTAGGTGAAATAGTCGTAGTACACTTCGTCATCAGGGATATAGATGTCGACAGACTCCTTGTCCTTCTCAACGACGGGCTTGTGGAGAAGACCAGTCGATCCGACGAACAGCTGATCGTCAATGGCAAAGCCAGATTCCTCCGTGGGGTGGGTCCAGAACATGGGGCGAACAATTGGGCTGCCATCGCGATGGGCGTGGAAGAAGGCAGTGTACCAAGAAGGCATCAAGCTGTAGCGAAGGCGGATGGCGGCGGTGAGGATGCCTCTGAACGGCTCCGCGAGCATATAGGGCTCACGGCGACGGGCATCAATGTGAGCGTGACCACGGAAGAAGGGGTAGAAAGCTCCGCCCTGGTACCAGCGTGCCATCAGCTCAGGCTCGGGGTTACCGAAGAAGCCTCCAACGTCGGCGCCAGCAAAGGGGAATCCGGAAATGCCCTGGTTCAGAATCATGGGAACGGCAGCGCCCAGGTGCTCCCACGAGGCCTGGTTGTCTCCTGTCCACATGGCACCAAGACGCTGAGAGCCAGCGTAGAAGGATCGGGTAAGCACGAAAGGTCTGCGGAGCTCGCCCTTCTTGCGAGTGAGGAGAGCCTCGAAGGTGGCATTGTGGAATGTCATGCCGTTGATGTTGTGCACGTCACGGTGCTCCCAGTTACCGTGGTGAATGTTGTCCTTGGGCATGGTGACCTCAGGTCCATTAAACACAGAGGGCTCGTTCATGTCGTTCCAGATGAATGTGTTCTCCATAGTGCCCTTGAAGGCGGCGTAGTCGAAGAGTCCAGTCCACCACTCGACGGCTTTGGGGTTGAAGCAATCGACCCAGTGAGAAGAACCAGGCCAGCACCAACCCTCGAAAGGCTTGCCCTCCTTGTTCAAGACGGCCAAGCCCTTGGAGTTCATTTGCTCGGTGATCTCGTACTTCCCCTCGTTCTTAATATGGGGATCAATGATAACCACGAGGTTTCTGCCATGCTCATCGAGAGCCTTGCCCATGCCGATGGGGTCCTTGAACATGTCGGCGTCCCAGGTGAAGTACTTCTTGCCATCGGTGTACTCAATGTCAAGCCAAATGACGTCGTAGGGAATCTTGAACTTATCAAACTTGCGGTCAACGTCCTTGACATCATCATCGGAGATGTAATTCCAGCGACACTGATGGTAGCCGAGAGAAAACTCCTGGGGCATAGCGGTGGTGCCAGTGAGCTCGCCATAGGTCTTGGAAATGTCCTTGGGGGTCGGGCCAAGGAAGATGAAGACGTCGAGAATGCCGGCCTCTGAGATCCAGTGGGTCTTCGTGTTGGTCTTGGAGCCAACGCCAAGAGCCAAGGGATTGGATGAGCCCTTCTCCTTGGTGATATCGATCCAGGTCTCAGCGCCGTTGAGCCAGAAAACACCGACAGTGGAGTCCTTGCGGTGCGCCTGCATAAGAGGAATCGCTCCGTATAGGGTCATGGGGCTGTCGAGAACGTACTCGAAGACGTCGGAGTTGTACAGTCTGTAGGGCTCGGAGTACTTGCCATCACCGCCACGGGTCTCCTTCAGAGACAGAGGACCGGCGTGCTCAGGGATACCGAAAACGTGCTCGTATCCGACGAATGAGATGTCGAGGGCGACGCTCTCGGGACCGCGGGGCTTGGAGTCGGTGTTGCCTCCGAAAGTCTCGTCCCACCAGGTGCTCTCGTCCTCCTGCTTGACTTCGGTGGTTTCGGCCTTCTCAGCGTTCTCTTCGCCTTCCTTCTTTTCCTCGGCAGGCTTGTCAACCATGGGGCGCCAGTGCTCCATGTTGAGCAGACCCCGGTCGTTGAGCTTGATATGGGACGATCCATCACGCTTAAAGTCGACGCTGAAGGGCGAGAACTTGACGACAGCCTCGAACTTGGAGGAGGGGCCGTACTGAATGGTGATTTGGTCCTTGTCCTGGTAGGCGACCTTGGCCTCCTTGTCGAGGTTCAGTCCACCAACAATGACGTGCTTCTCGGCTTCGTTGTACCGCTCCTTGCGGGCAGGACTGTTGTTTCGCAGCTCGATCTCTCCCTTTTGGCGCTTCTCTTCGTCAACGGTTACGCGGGCGGTGCCGGATTCGAGGAAGGAGACGGTAATGGGAAGGCGGACGGTTTCCTGGGCATCGTTGATGGTCTTGAGGATGATAGCCTGGAGTTGGCCGTCCTTGAGGGAGGCAGAGTCGGGGAGGATATTGTAGGGAGCGGCCCAGGTCGAGGACTGGGAGACGGCGTTATCGGCATAGTCGCGATTGCGCTTGCAGAAGCCAGATTGGTGGCACTTCTTGAAGTCATTTTCCTTAACCATGACTGCGATTGCCTTGTCAGTATCACTAGGACAAGAAATGGGGGGACCAAGCGACGTCAATTCGACACAAGCCAGGTAAAAGGAATGTCATTGCGTCACGGGAGTCCTTACCTGCGGGCTGGATCATGCAGCTAAGTGCCGCCAGTAGACCAAAGAAGGTCGTCCATTTGTAGGACGACTTGCCGATGGTCCCCATGGCGGAGGGGTGTGGCGACTGTGTGTTTGTCCGAAGGGATTGGATGAACTGCTGTAAGAACCTTTGGAATCAAGAAGCGAACATGGGAATGAGAGCAGAAAGAAGGCGAATCTTCTTTGTGGTGCTCTCGCGTCGCGCGTTGATGGTGGTTTTTGGTACACTTTGGATCAGGTTGGGTGGGAGGAATTGGTGACGTTTGGGTGGAAGGTACTTGTGAAGGTGAGACGGCCTGAGTTCAACAGCTGTCCCCTTGACTAGCTCCACTTCGGGACTAGCGCAGGTCGCTTGCTGCGGGAGACAGGGGCTTGTCGGAGACAACACGCTTAACCGGATATTCGATGATGGATAGTTACATAGAGCTTACTGACCAAATATTTACCCCGCCATGGGAGTAAATGACTGGCGATACTCCAAACCACATGCATTGTTGGCAGATGTCAATGGATAGAGTCTTGGGTGTTTCCTGTAAAGAACAGTTGATGGTGGCTTCTATCTGGTAGGGTGCGAAATGTGCGAAATATGCGCTTACACAACCTTTCTGGACACTGCCATACCAATACGACGGTATGGTTAATACACGTATGAGGACGAGACGCCCTCTATGAGCGCCCTCTATATGTTGCCTTAGATCGCGAGCTTTTTGAGAAATTATACCACATTATATCTTGATCTTTGCGAATGCTCATGCTCGGGGTCTGCTCGAGCCTGACCTACTATAGACGGTGATTGTGGAATGTGTGGATCCAACAGATCTGGGTTGGCTCTCGGTCGTTCACCATACCATGATCTGCATCACCATCATGAGAACGCTCGATGCGATCCCGAGAGCAATTGCCGGGTAGAGCGGCAGATGGCGGAAGTTGCGGAAAGGCTTGTGCAGCCAATTTCGTGAGCTATCACTCCAAAAGAATTAAAGTCGCCTGCAAGTTCCTCAATTGAGAAGGAGGTCCAGAAGTTCTTGCTTTAAGCGATACGGAAATAACCAAGAAACAGTCATCAAGACAGGGTTGCGAGTCAAGAACTGTGACGATATTCAGAACAACGACCACGATGAAATGTGATCTCCTGCCCGCGCTGCATAAAAGACAGCGATAAAAGGAAAGCAATATCCCGTGAACATAATGCTTGGTGCTCGCTGGATGCACCTACCCAGACGTAAACATGACGCGCCTGATACTGCTGTTACTCGCCGGGCTTTCTGGTGTCCTCTGTCAAGAGGCGCCGCAAGTCCAAACCAGGAATAGCTCTTACACGGGGGTTCATTTGCCTTTACTGGAGCAAGACTATTTTCTCGGGATGCCATTTGCGCAGCCTCCTGAACAAGGGCCCCTTAGATTCTCACCACCAGCTTCGTTGAACACCTCCTGGACTGGGTCGAGAGACGCCACCCAGTTCGGCAACATTTGCTACGGCTACGGGGTACGTTCATGTGGCCGGATCACGTTACTCCTCGCTGGGCAGCCTTCATTACATGAAGGGCATTGCTAACCTTGCTTAGAATGACAACAACAGGCTCGCGGCGCTTGGTTTCAAGATCTCCGAGGACTGTCTGAGCATCAACGTCGTTCGCCCCTCCAACTACACAAACCAGTCGCTCCCAGTTGCCGTGTATATCTATGGGGGCGGCTACTTCCAAGGCGGCAGTGCTGATCCTCGGCTGAACTTCTCGTCCATCATTAGGGACTCTGTCGCCGCAGGGAAGCCCATCATTGGTGTTAGTTTTAACTATCGCCTTTCTGCCTTTGGCTTTCTAGGAGGATCTGAAATCGTTGCCGCTGGGGCTGCAAATCTTGGCTTTAGGGATCAGAGACTGGCGCTTCACTGGGTGCAAGGTATGCTGTAACTTTTAAGAGCACTTGGATCGAGCATCGATAGCTAACATGTCTCTAGAGAATATTGGAGCGTTTGGAGGAGATCCTGCGAAAGTGACGATATTCGGCAACAGCGCGTAAGCTCTTCGTACTTTTCTAGATGCTTCGAGCACAGCTGATTCAACATTGTTTCTAGGGGTGCAGGTTCTGTCGGCGCACAGCTGTTGGCATACAATGGGCGCGATGACGGACTGTTCAGAGGCGCCATTTCTCAGTCGGGAGCTCCTGCTGGTTTCTCGCCATTCTCTCCGTGTGAGTTCTCGTCTTATAGGCCAAGACTTCCTGACTATTGCTGAACTGACTTGCTCCAGTCCTCGATGTCACAAAGTGGGACGAGGTCTATGACAATATCACAGCCGGTACAGGCTGCAACTCGACAGATACGCTCAACTGTCTACGAAACGTGCCAATCGAGGTTTTGAATGCCATAGTCAATTCTACAGCCACTTCAGGGGCTTCCTACGGACTAGGTGAGTTGTCATGGATTAGAATGCTATCAAGGCTGGGCTAACAAGTCCAAGTTTTTGACGGTGACTTTGTTGCCGATGCACCGGGAGCGCAGCTGGCCAAGGGCAACTTCGTCAAGGTTCCGTATATCATCGGCCACAACACAGACGAAGGATCTGCCTTCATCCCAGGGAACAACTTTGACAACGCCACGCTCTATCCGACATCCAAGATCGACACGGATGAGCAGTTTAGGGACTACATCGTTTCGCTCAAGGCCAACGAGACGGTGGCAAGTCGTGTGTTCGACTTGTACCGCCAAAACGCAACCGACCAGGCTCTAGCCACGTACCCAGACGATCTCGGCGCTGAACTTGGTTACCAATACAAGAGAGCTGTTACGCTCGCTGGTGACTCTAACATCATCGCACCGACTCGCTACACGGCTCAGATGTGGACGACCTACAACGTACCGTAAGTATAACCGCACTGGTTTACTGGAACATGCTTACTGATCAGTCGATTGGTATTATAGCCTCTACAAGTATCGATGGGACGTTACAGTCAGCGGGCTACCTCGCTACATCGGCGCAACGCATGCGAAAGAGATCTTCTTCGTCTTCAACGACCAAAGCAGAGACGATTACGACGTGTGGCCTCTGCAAGACAAACCCCAGTCGTTCTCTGACCTGGCTTCCATCATGGCAACTGCATGGGCCAGCTTTGTTGCGACAGGGGACCCGAATAGTAATGGATCTGGTAAGTGCGGTCTTCTGCAGGCCTCGACAGGATGACTACTGACGCTGAGCTTCTTAGTCAATGGGACAAACTGGCCTTTGTATAACGAATCCAAGAAGAACTTCGTCTTCACTGGGAACGTCACTAGCCACGTCGAAAATGACGACACGCGTGAGCAGGAAATCGGCTTTCTGTCAAGTCTTTTTTGATGTCAAGTGAAGTGGAAGTGACAGATCGAAATGGTGGGACCAGGTTGGACGAACAAGGCCCACAATACAGATACCTTAGCCAGAGAGGTACCTTGCTCTGGATAACCAATTAGAGCACATGAGCCCCGCTGTGCCACTTAAGAGATTATCCGAGATGCAATGAGACGGAAGATAGGTACCTGATTCGTACCTGACAACCAGAATCTCAATCAATACGCACCATGATTATTTACTTACTTATGTATCAACCCAAAACTGCATGACTTTTGAGCTTCTCTTGGGCGAGTTTCAAGGTCAATTGCATGTGACGATCCAGAGAAAAGAAACTTGAGCTTGGCGTTTTGTATTTCAAGTGCTATAGGTAAGGAACCTTCCCCTTGGCTTAATGCCATTCCACACCACACCTCACCTCACCCTCTCTTTCGAACGGTGAACCTTCACCTTTTGGTTGCCATCAATGCTGAGCTGTCAAAATAAAAACTAGGCGGTCTGGCTCACAGTTCCAAAACTGCCGTATCAGAAGCTCGGTACACTGTCCAGCAATCTCCACACCCTTTTCACCACATTTCTACCTTGCCTTGGGTAGGCTTTCTTTTATCCAATGGCAGACTCGGAACCCCACCACCACAGCGGCGGCGCGCAGGACAACGACCCCGCCTCGAAGCACAAGAAGCCGCAGCAGAATAATGCAAATGCAAGCTTCCCCGAGTACGCCCGCAGGACAGCAGAGAAGCTGCCCCCACCAACTTTCATAATTCTCGCTCTCCTCTTCGGTTTGTACATAATTTTTTCCTCGAGCCAACAAAACCAGCGGTCAGCAGCAGACCTTTCTTCTCCTCCCGTCGCCCCTTCCGTTGTCACCACCACAATCTACCAAGAACATCAACCATCTTCAACTCCCAAAGTCGTCGTTGATACCTCTCCCAAAATGTCTACCGAGCAGACGTGAGTATACATCCCAATCCTTCCCTTTCTATTGAGCTAGCATGCATCGCAATGCCGCATCATGCTATTTTGCTTTTCTTTGAGCTCCCGCCGCTACCCTGAAATTACCCCGCCATCGTGGGAGGTTTCGGGCAGAAGAGGGGCACACATCACCACCACGAACCAGAACAAAAAAAAGCTGACCTCGAGATAGCTTCATTGCCATCAAGCCTGATGGCGTTCAGGTACGCTTCATCGCACCTGGTTCTTACCAATTGCCAGGCACAGCAAGCTGACCCTCTCATAGCGCGGCCTGATCGGCCCTATCGTCTCTCGCTTCGAGACCCGTGGGTAAGTTTTCTCCCAGATGATGCCCTACCTGCTCTGGTCAAGTTTGTCATCTCTAACACGTCTCTTACAGCTTCAAGCTCGTCGCCATCAAGCTCATGACCCCCGGCAAGGAGCACCTCCAGGCCCACTGTTCGTTAACCCCTCTCGGTGCCCTTTGAAAGCATAGCTGACTGCCAAACAGACGCCGACCTCAAGGACAAGCCCTTCTTCGCTGGTCTCATTGAGTGTATGTTCCAACTCAATGCATTGACCATTGTGATTCCAAGCTGACATTCTCACAGACATGAACTCTGGCCCCATCTGCGCCATGGTTTGGGAGGGCCGTGATGCCGTTAAGACCGGTCGTGGTAAGTCCCTCGCGAATCCTCTACACACGAAACCTTCAGCCGAATACCCTCATACTAAAACACATCTTACAGTCCTTCTCGGTGCCACCAACCCCCTTGCCTCCGCCCCCGGCACCATCCGTGGCGACTACGCCATCGACGTCGGCCGCAACGTCTGCCACGGCTCCGACTCCGTCGAGAACGCCAAGAAGGAGATTGCCCTCTGGTTCAAGGATGGCGATGTCGTCTCCTACAAGTCTTCCCAGTTCGACTGGATCTACGAGAAGCCTTAAATGCTTTTTCTCTAATCCGCCACTATACACGAGCCGTAGACGTCCACCGTACGCTTGCCGAACGGGTGGGATGCATGTCGCCATGTTAGGTTGATAAAGAAAAGCTATCGGTCAATCAAAAAGCACAAACAAAGAGCCATGTGTTGCTTGCTACCAGGAGTGTGATGTGATGTTTGAGATCTTCAACTGTGATTACCGACTGGATCTAAATAGTCCGCGTGCCCTGCCCATTACACCCGCAAACCACGGCGTCCCCCACACGCTGACGAGTATCCTCGCCGGCAGCAGCGCCTTCGTAATCGCCCAAGCCATAGCAACCTCCACCACGACCTTGTACTTTCCATCCTTCTGCCACTTCTCCAGTATATCCTGCGTGCTCTCGAACTCCTCGTCCCTCTCCAACTGCCCCGTCATCGTCCCTCGGTCCTGAGCTTCGAACCCAAACCACCCCTTCCTACTGAAATACCTCTCCGCCATACCCACGCCATCCCTGACGTATTCCGCCCAGTGACCCGTAACGTACTCGAGCGGTAAAAAGTTTGTATAGTGGAAGAAGCCGAAGAGGCCGAGGAGAGGCACGACGGCGGTGATTTCGTGGAGGATCAGGAACGCGACTACGTGCGAGACGGGCGCTTTGCGGAGACCGGTGGTGTATTTTTGGAAGCGGAGGGGGACGCGGTCGAGGATGCGGTCTGCGGCGCGGGACGATGATGAGGAAGAGGGGGAGGAGGGAGGCTTGGTGGAGTTTTTGCGCAAGGCTGTTTTTGTTCGTAGTGTTTGTTGGCGGATTGTGCGTAGAGATGGCCGCAACCTTGCGAGGGCGCGGCGTGCGAGCATTGTGCTTTATTTTGATGCGTCGGCGACGGCGGCGGCGGTCTTTAGAGGGCAAGTTGCTCCAATAATATATACCGAGAAGGAGTATCTAAAAGCAATTGATCAAGTATTCTGCGTGAGCGAGACTGTCATCTTTCAGAATCGTGGTGTAGGCTGACGCGACGAGCTTTGGCTGGGTCCGTCGGCGGGCGGGAGATGATGCTCGAGAAGAGCTCTCGGTGGGGCGGAGGGAATCGAGGTGTCAACGCTTCGGTGTGCTTGGCTCACCGAGGTGAGGTGAGGACGCCGTCGGGGATTGACAGTGCGGGCCGCCGCGGGCCGATACTTGGACGCTCCAACGACGTCCCGTCACACGCTACGCAACCTATCACACGCGCTACGATCCGAGGTTATTTTTTTGTTGATCGGACATTGCCCCAATTTCCCATGACCGATTGTAATATCGTCGGGGACAAGTCACTGCACGGTTTTCACGATGCCCGCGGGCAGGTGTCTCCACTGGCATGCGGGCTTCGCACTGGAATCCGTCGTACCCTTACCTTCGTGCATTTAAGTCCACATGGAGGCTTAATTTTGATGTACCATTTCTCCAAAGGCCACGGAATTCCTGAATGCTCAAGTCTGCGTAAACACATCTAGGCTGACTGGCTGACGCTCTCGGTCGCCCGCAGACAAACGCCACAACAAAATTTGAGCCGTGCCCGTTTTACCGAAGCTATTCAAACTCTTGTCGCGCCGTCCATGCTCTCGGGCGGCAGTGAAAATACTCTTACCATCCCCTTGAATACTCTAACGGGAGTGAATATTCCAACATCTTTCTACTATGTTCCTAAAGTGCCTAGGAAGGCCTTAATAGAAAGTTCAGTCGCAGGTCGAACATCAGTGCGCACTCGATGGGATGTGCCGCTACTCAAATGGCCAGCCAACCTGATGGCAGTGAATTCTGTGGATAGATGATCTCTCTGGAGGTATGGGGCAGGCTGAGACTCGGGCATCGCGATTTGAACTTGCCAATTGAGGTTTCTCGCAGGTGTAGAGGCAGCCACACTGCGGCTTCAGCCTTCGTGTTCATTAGAGTCTTGAAATGACACAACTAGGAAGGAAATGGCGAGAGTTTCGACTCCAACCCTAGGATGTTTCGTGTACGAAATCTGATATATGACAAACAAGCTCTCTTATCGCTGCGAGGGAGTGGCAGATGACCACGGTCCATTCAACTAGGCAAACCGCACGAACCAGATGCGGTCAAGCCTTGAATCCTGGAGTGCTGCTAAGCTGCGGCACGGCTCGCATTGCTGCTTGCTGACCTTGCTTTGCTCCTCGCTACTCAGTCTCGTCTATTTCTTGCTTCTCCTCGGAAACCGGGTAGCTTTGCTTGGGTTGCTTTCCGAAATTCTTCATGTACACGTGAACTTATTGTTCCATGGGTAGAAACACAAACATCCTAGTTGAACTCGAATTACTTACGAGGCGTTGCCAAGGATCTGTGCCCAAGTCGATTTCGATGGAGACATGCTTGAGGCAATCAGCAAACGATGCTTGGCGAATGGAACAAGCGAAGGTCATCACCATAGGTTAAGAACAGCTCGTAATCAATCAACCAAGCAAGTGATGACTGAAAGACGTGAAGCGACTATCCGTTGAACAGTAAAAGTCGAGATCATGACTATTCCTCATGAACACTTCCTATCTGCTGAACTGCTGCGGGTGGCTCGCCCACCTCCCGGGCCGGTACTAGCTAATACTTGGGTACAACGATGCTCCAAGACTGTACGTAGGTGCATGTACCTTTGTATGAACAGCCTGGCAGTCCGAGAAATGTGCCATCGATTGGCGATCTGTCCGCCGCTGTTTCTCACATACTTAGGCTAGTCCCTTGACTTCGGTGGCAAGGAGTACCCAGCATAGATCGTCACCACAGTCACCAAAAAGCTGTCGAAGACTAATATTCAGCCGTTCTCATAGTTTGATGGGTCTCTCCATACCTCGCTTTCCAGTGAAATACGATTAATACCTATAAAGTATGGAACTCAAGGTTAACTAAGCCAAAAGTCCGAGACTTGTAGAAGTGCATGCAATGTAGCCTGTGTCAGAATCAGGCTATTCGAAGCTGAAGTCTTATAGCCCGGTTGGGTCGTTAGCTACTTCTAACGTGGGCTGAGTCTTCACACACAGCGCCTCAGAAGCAGTGTAAGACGTCAATTCTTTGGGCAAGAAACCTCGAATTTTAAAGCAAAGCACTTGAATGGAGTGAAAGGGGACGGCAAAGAGGTAAAACCTTTTCTTTTTTTCTGTCCTTCTTCGTCAGGAGGATTGTCTGCTGGAATTCCAATCAATGGCGAACCTAGATCTTACCATGCCCCCTAGCAAATCTTGCGGGTGAAAACATCTGCTAGGCGCTCTTCGTGTGCCCTAAGTATGCTAGCACGACGGTACCGTGCTCTTTGGTTCAAGCCTATCCTGCCCGTGAGTCTGAGCTTCACTTGAAAAGACTGCCAAGAAGATTTCTATTAGGCATCGTGGCTTGGTTTCAGTAAAATTGTCTTCATCTTCAAGAATAATCGGCATTCACCACAACTCGAACGGCGTCCCGGATGAGTCTCCTCCCACTTGGGTAACTTCTGTCCATCCGTCTGGTCCGACCATGGGGCTCTCTTACTCTAGCATAACTCAATATTGCCTGATCTCGAACGGCAGACTGCCTTCGTGACGGCCGGCGGCTTCGGGGATCGATGGCGAAGATTCAGGGCCGCGGCCCGCACTACGCTAAGCCTTGATCGATGAACTCCTTGAAGGTTTTTTCCCCAGCCCCTGAAGTCTGGACCTTCTCCAGGGGTTCTTCGACGCAGAGGGATAACCTGCCGAAAGTGGGCGCAACTTTCGAGAACCTTCAGCTATCTTTGTCCTTCGTCCTGCCAAGACAAGTGAAAACTCAACACTGTAAAGCATCGCGGTCGGCAAGTCTTCCAAATCATCACCAACCTTTCGTGGACAACTGTCGTCTGAACCTACTGCCGAATGTTACTCTCGGACCGTGCAGCGAGCACGCCTACCCTGCCCCCTCTCCAGAGCAATCACTTTGATGTTGCCTTGCCGGATCCTCGACAATCAGTCCATTTACCCACGGCCCGAGGAATGATGAACTTTGTCCTTGAACAGTCCCACGGGAAGGGTTAAAGCCTTTCAGCTCCTTCTTTGTTGAAATAATCTACAGAACCTCCTTGAAGAAAATCCTTTCTTCGTCCTACCACAGCAGTCAATATTCGAGACTCAAAGACTGCCGAGTCAAACAATCACAACAATCCTCGACCTCGACCCTCTTGCTCCTACATCCATCAAAATTGCTGTCATTACAATACATCATGGCTTCTACCGACAAAATGGAAGTCGACAAGATCGAGGCCATCAACGCGGCTGTCCCGTCAGGCGTTCCCATCCCGACTGGCCCTACCAAGGATCGTCAGTTCACAAAGTTCAACACCTTTAAGTATTACCGCAAGAGCACGAAGCCCAGCGACGCGGTCTACATCAGCCGCCGCGAGAAGAAGGAGAGCTTCCGCCATCTGCGCAGAAATGCAAGTAAGTAACACCCCCTCTTACTCGTTTGGTGCCGACGAAAAGTAAAGGCGTCGGACTAACCATTCTGGGCACACTGTAGTCTCAGGACCCAGCACTGGACCCAGACCAGGCAGCGGAACGGACTGGTACGACGTCCCATCCTCGATGCTCACCGCCGGGGACAAGCTCTTGATCGCGACCAACCGTCTTCCGACCATCGTCCACATCGTCTTTAAGACCGGCTTCTCATTTACGCCCCTTGACTTCATGACCAAGGAGGCCGCCATCGATGTCTGCCGCTATCTCGAGCTTGAGGGCAAGCTCTCAAACTTCCAAGGTGAAGGTGGCCGCATCGCCGACTTCATGCGTATGATCCTGAACGAGTGCGAGCGATTCAAGTACCAGTACACCGACAAGAACCTTTTCAAGGAGATGCCCAAGCAGAGAGGCTTCATGCCCGGCTTCTGGGTGAACATTGCCCACGAGGTCTCCATCAAGCAGACCATTGCCAAGGGCAAGCCCGCCGAGACTTGGGCCGACGATATCATCAAGACTACTACTTGCGAGGAGATGCTCAAGGCCTTCGTCCGAGCTCGCAAGGCATACTTGCAAGAGATGGCCAAGGAGGGCGAGAGTGATGCTAATGGTGAAGATGGCGGCGCTGTCAGTGGTTTCAGCGTCTTCGAGGACACATACACAAAGAAGATGGTTGGCTTGATCCGGGCTATTGATAACTGGATCGCTTTCAGCGAGGAGAACGTGGAGAAGCGCGAGGCTAAGGAACTCGCGCTCGCCATTGATCGCTTTCAGATGTAAGCTGTTAGCCAGCTATACGAATATTGTCATTTGAGCGGAAAGGCGTATGGAGATACTGGCATAAGGACTTGAAGAACAGCGATGCAGGGAGTCCAAGTCGGTTTTCATAGGTTTATCTTAGGTGGATTGCTTGATGTCATATTGGAGTCAGGCTCCTGGAATTGAAACCTCATTAACAGTCAAAAAGTGATACGACGTGTCTTTGCAGCCGCCGTCCAATGTTTTGCGTACGATGTTTTCCATAAACGAGCGCGCGTTGATGTCCTTCTCGCGATATTTTTCGGCGTTTATATCACACATTGTACGTCTCCTCGAGATACCTACAAGACGGACTGGAGTACATAGCATAATTCCATTGACGAATATGGAACACTTGGAAGTTTTCCGGAATGCGAAAAGGCTCTGTAGACTGAATACCACCCTGATTGATGGCCGAGAGTGAGCAGAAGACTGGCTCACATGCGGCGAATTGTTCATGGACATCAGCACAAACCTCGGAAGAATCTGGCGTTCTCCGGCGGTCCTTTATTTCTTCATCCAAACTCCGTTGACTTAAAACTACTTTCTCTTTGAAATGCCTACCTGGGCCTGCGGCGTAGCTGCCGCCAAGAGGTCTGGCCTGTCATGATGCAGCACAGGCTGCCGACAGTACAAAGAGGCTGTGTTCGATCAGCCATCAGCGTATCGGCAACGGCATTCGACATGACATTGATACAGTACTCAACATGCCGGCCAACGTCGGAACAGTAAGGAGTGAACTGCTGCAATGTCACCGCCGAACGCCTTTGACCCGCGTTTCAACTTTCGGGCTTGGGGAATCGGCCCTTTGCGGTATTGCCATCTGACCTCGTATAGGTTGGACTGCCGCCAGAGCGGCCAAACACCCAATATTCGGCTGTTACGAGTCTCCCCAGCGGCCTTGAAAAACTCTTTAGGTTCGCTATCGTATCTCAGGTCTACGTTAAGCTTTGCCATCTCCTGTTGAGACAGTCATTCGCACGATCCTTATATATTATCTTTGTACCGTGTCACTCAAATAGGCAATAGTATCCCACGCCCAGATCTTCACCCTTTTATTGACGGACCTGAAATGCTACTACCGCGACTAGTCATCTTAGTCGAACATTTGGGCCCGAGTGTTGCTCGAAACCTCTGAGGAGACATGAAAGGTACTTTTCCTCGTCTGAGCCAAAATCACACAAGTCTGCCTCATATTCGTTTTCCTAATGATACCAAAGTTAATGGCGCTTGTTCTCGTCTTGTTGTGGTCCACCTACACATCTTGCTGGCCGAGTATCTGGAAAGGAAGGCACGCCCAGGACGACCCCGTGCCTGCCCTCCGCCATCTTACCACGACATGAGGCTATATACCCCCCCTCAACTCCATTCTCGTCACCAGCCAGCAGGCGCCCGTCTAGGTCGACGGGTTGGGTCAAAATGGCTGGGTGGTGGAGTGGTTTATGTTCAACATTTAAAATCGCCAACCAGCCTACTCGATGACAGGCTAAGCGCATACGAGTCTCCGAGTTCGAATCCCAGCATGAGCGCCAAAATTCCCCAGCATGAGCACCAAGAGATGTAGCCTCCAGTTCAGCACCGGGGGGGTGAACTCTTTTTACTTCCTGAATCTAATGATATTTCAAGGTAGGCGCTCCTGGATTTGGTTGACGAGAGGGGATTAAGAAGGGAAGTCTAAGACTTCTCATCCTCCTTTGGCATGATCAGATCCCGTATTACGGAATATACATCTTCATTCATACTACCTATATCTCTAAGACTTGTCGTCTCCCATCTGGCGGCCCCATTTCAACTGTAGTGATGGTGTTGACTAAGTATTCTCATAGCTCACCCATCGCCACCTGACCACTCACCGAGTCACCGGGCTGGCGGCATCCCAGGGCAACCTCTGCCCGTTTTTCCTATCTCCAATATTGTGCACTGAGCAAACCGACATGAGTTCCACTCTCTCTGCCGATGGAGCTAGGAGGACATGCGACATCTTGCGTGGTGGCCGCGGAGCAAACGTAGGGTGCCCGCAGCGGCGCAGCCCACCCACATCCCTTCTATTGTCCAGCTTTTCCAGCCCACTCGCGTCTTTTCCAATGTTTCGTCCAGGTGACTTTCTTTCTGCGTTAGACTTTTCAATGTCTTGTCACTTTCCCAATTCAACCTAGTCTCCGCGAGGCATGTCAAACGATTCATATACAAAACTTCCGTCAAGAACCCGGTATATGACAGAGTAATTCTGAAAACATGCGTGTCTCCGCGCGTCCGCATCGGCCAAGACCAAGGTCCCGACGAAGTATAATCAGGGGCGGGCGTGGAAATGTATCAGTGCAAGTATGTTCGGATGGCCGCGCCCCTGAGAGACTAGATGTGCCTCCCTACACCCTCACAGCTCCCACAATATCACTTCGGGTGTGGTGCCGCGCTAAGTCTGGCCACCTTCCTTGCATGATATGTGCGACTAATGCATCGCTGGCCATTCCGATGGCTGCTTCCAACACCCTGCTATGTCGCTAATGTCTGACGTACGCTGAACTATCCCCGCGTTGGATAATTCTTATTCACTCGGCCCGCCATCTCACTCTTTTACAGTGTTGAAGATTTATTCACTCAAACGGTTTGTGGTAAGGCCTGCGCGGTTTGGGCAGCTGACCACCTGATGAACACTATATTGCAATCAAAACATGATCGAGAAAGCTTGACCGGTATCCGGGGACCGGTGTGGACGATGCGTGGATTCCTGGGCAACTCGGGTCACTAGCCCTGCTGATTTCATGGCAAGGAAAGCTGTGAGAATGCTGGCAAAGGAGGTGTTCTCAGCTACAAAAGAAAGGGGGTCAATCAGAAAGTGTCGCATTTTGTGGGGCATCAAGCAAAGGAGGCTGTTCGATCCAGCTCTGTTCTCTTTCAACAAAGGAAATCAGGATGGCCGCCATATTTAAGATGCTTGCCCTGCAGTTGCTTGCTGGCGAGATGAGAGAGGGTCAAGATTGGTCCATCTCTCGAATGATTCGGAGTTGTTTCAATCCCAACTGATCAACCAAGATGTATCTGATGACCGCAGTGGCTGTTTCCTTGGCTACCACTGCTCTAGCAGGAAACCAGGGGGGACTTCTTGGGTTCAACTATGGCGCCACGAACGACGATGGGTCATGCAGAGGCTATGATGATTTCTTACGCTACTTCCAGAACGCGAAGACACTGGCTGGCTCGGATGGTAGAAACTTCACTTCGGCTCGTCTTTATACTTCCATCCAGTGCAACAATACACATGACCCTAGCTCAACATGGGCTGAATCGACCTCAGCTTACAAGGCCGCCATCGAAACCAATACCAGCATTCTTGTCGGTCTTTGGGCCAGCGGCGGTGTTCAAATGTACGACAATGAGCTAAGATCCCTTACGGCCGCTTATATGCAGTATGGTGAGGCTTTCGCCAACCTGGTCATCGGCATCTCCGTCGGCTCAGAAGATTTGTACCGGCATGCGAGCGGTCTGACCGGCAAATATGTCGGCATGGGCGCCGACGCGAGTGTGATTGTAGGGTACATTGCGGACCTTCGAAATTTGATCAAGCAAAGCATACCTCCCCTGACGAATAAGCCCATTGGCCACGTCGACACATACACTGCGTGGATTCTCCCCGAAAATGCCGCCGTTGTGGAAGCCGTCGACTGGCTCGGCCACAACTCCTTTCCCTACTGGGAGTCTGACAAGAACAACACGATTGACAACGCTCCAAGCCTATTCACATCTGCTCTAGACCAGACAATGGAAGTTGCTGCCCAAAGTTCAAGTGTATGTGGCAAGGAAAAGGAGGTGTGGGTCACCGAAACTGGATGGCCGCATGGTAAGACTTCCACTCAGCATCACTTATCCATGTCGACAAGGCCTTGGATGCTAACTGCCTCCCCAAGCTGGTGAATCTCAAGGCGCTGCCGTCGCCTCAGTTGAAAATGCTTACTTCTATTGGATGAACGTCGGCTGCGACCTCTTCCAAACGAGCCTCAATGTCTTCTGGTACATTCTACTCGACTCCAATGCTGATCAGTTCAATAATGGCATAGAGTTTGGTCTTACGAGGAATAGCGATGTTTCGAGGCCTGTCTTCAACCTTAGTTGTCCAAACTTGCCCGACCTCTCAGGGGGAGAATGCGACAGCTAGCAGATACCTCCGGTTTGTGTATGATACGGAAGTTGTCATAATGGCACTCAAACTCGAGTGGCGAGTCAAAAGGCCCGCTAGGACCCTCTCAGGGGCAACTGTCAAAGGGGTCCAAAACGAAGCTCAATGGTCAAACCTGCTGTTTTCTTGACACAGAACCGGCTGAATGATCACTTGATATACATACTCCTCCGCTATATTCCTAACAAACGGAGAAAATCAATAGAATTGCTTTCGACGAGCTCATGAGCACACTCCCTACCCAAGTGATCATCCAGTAAGTCAAGTGCCGTTGTTGACTTGTTGTGGCAAACTAAAAGCACGTCTACTCCTTCCATTTCCAGCATTGATGCATAAAGGCACAAACTGACATGATCTGATAAGACTGACCCCAAGGCACCGATGCCGTTGTTGTCTGACCAGCATCTACGTTCAGGGACTGCCTTACTATGGACAGCATACTAAGAAGACAGGCTCCGATGCGGCTAAGTGCGACGATTTTCCCACAACACCGTTTATCGAGTGCTGTTTTTGCATTTGCTAGATCCGAAGATCTCTCGAAATCGCCCTAGAGGAGGAACATGTACATCTCAATTCAACGACAGGGGTGGATGTTCGGTGACGGCTGGAACTCCCCGAGTCGGCTCATCCCCGGTCACTTTGCGTGGCCTCTTGATGTGTCTTCCGAACTGGATAATCCTACCCGGATATTTTTGCTGCTTAAGGAACGCGGGGTTGGGAGAGTGAATGGGGATTCTTCAGCTTCCAATCCACACAGAGTTTTGTAGATTCCCCGCATCCCGCGTGACAACGCCCCAGCCTGCCATGGGGTCAACTCTCATCCGAAGCCTGATATATGTGCATGCTCTTACTCCGAGGACACGCTGACCGCCAGAACGTTTTTCCTGGTTAATGCGCTGTTGGCAACGGGAAAAAGGTAGCAGAACTGGACAGCTGAGTACCCCTGGTCAGGTCAACAGCGCATCTTTAGGGTGTCGTTCGCCGCTACTTCACGGCCATGACTTGGCAAGAACCCTCCGGAGCAAAACGTCAAGGTAGTTGCGGAGTCCGCTTGATGTTGCTTGACTCTGAAGATAGTCGCATTCACAGAGTTGAGAAGGCACTTGATCAGACTACGATTCGCGCAAAGAAGCCAATGCTTCGTGAAGAGCTTCTTCACTTTGCGATTCCTCGCACTTTCAGATCCATTATTCGAGTCGGCGTTCTCATCGTTGAAACCAGCTTCAAGTCTTTACTCTTGCAGACATTATGTTCAAAAGATCGAAATCTTCCACTAATAACCTAGGCATCAGTCCGGAACTCGCCGCTGTTCTTCCAGACACTGGGATCCTATGGTATAGGCAACGACATCTCATAGGTCTCAACTTCTACTGCAACATCCTGGCTTTGCTCTGTGCAGCAAACAGTTACAGTGGCTCAATGATGAACGGTCTCTTGACCTCCATCGATGACAGACATTCATGAACTCCTCCGAGGGATTGTGGCTCGGGTTTATCAACACCGTCTAGGTGCTCTCATCTATGCTTGCCTATCCCGTGGTAGCATACTTTACGAATTGTTAGGGGCGGAATAAAGGACTCTTTTTCGGATACGTTTTCCTATGCATCGATTGTTTTCTTCAAAAGTTCTTGCCCAATAAGGCAGGATTCATGATTGGTCCTGTCATCATCGACCAGCCGAGCGATTGGTTGGGTTGTCTTGCGCCTGTTCTCATCATGGACTTGGTATACCCAACTCACCGGGTAATTTCCACGGCGTAGTTGCTGATCCTGAGCATGAGAATTCGGATCAATTACGAATGCTGAAAACTGGAGTTACAGACTTTACAACACTGGATGGTTTGTTGGATCTAACTTAATGGCGTGGGCAATCTTCGGAACCAGAAATTACGATAGCAGCTGATCGTGACGCATCCTTTCATCGCTACAGATTGTCAACCCGCTACTCGTACCCCCGGCTGCCATCCTCATCATGGAGTCGCTCCGTCTTCTCGTCTCCAAAGGCCAGGTTGAAAAGTATCGCATCATACTAAAGAAGTTCCATGCTAGAAGAGACCGAAACTCGATTCTCGTGGACTTCGAGATGACAGAGATCGAACGAGCCATCGCAGACGATGAGATGGTAGCTAAGAGTTCATCATGGACGGAACTATTCTCCGCACCAAGGAACAGACGCAGAGCTTTCATCTCAATGTCGCTTGGCTTGCTCGGGCAGTGGACTGGGCAAAACATCGCGTCTTACTACCTTGTGGCGATAATGGTCACAAATTGTATCACTTCTGTCGCGGACCGAACGCTCATTAACGGTTGTCTGTAAGATTGGAACCTGATCCTAGCTGTATCAGCTGCTCTCTCGGTTGACCGGGTAGGCCGTCGACCGCTATTTCTCCTCAGTTGTGATGGGGTGTTTGTCAATTTCGTCGTCATGGCTGGCTTGTCCGGCGGCTTTGATGCTACTCGGCCCCGTCGGTCGGTGTGGCAGTGGTACCAGTGTTATTCATATTATCCGGGTTATACGAAATTGCTTTATAGGTTGACGACGCAACACAACAAGAGTATATGAACTGCTAACCACACCACGAGCAGCACTTCTTTACTAGTATCCTACTCAGCCGAGATCTGTCCATACGAACTTCGTACTCGAAGAACAGCTCCGACGCAAATAACCACGTACTTGGGAATCTTCTTCAATGTCTTTGTCAATCCAATCGCACTCGAAGCTATCGGATGGAAGTATTACGTTGTATTTGTGGCGACTCTGTTGGATGGTCCGATCGTCATTTATCTCCTCTATCCAGAAAGCCAAAGTCATCAGATAGAAGAAATGACGGCCATCCTCGACGGTGAAGCGGCAAGAGTCACCGATGTTTGATTCGAAGAGGATGTGAAGAATGGATCGTCGACTCAACACAAAGAGGGTGCATAGGCTAAACACAGAAAGATTCATACTGCCAGCGCATTGTATCTCGACATCATGCAACTTTTGCCTTACATGATGTTAGATCGGGTCAACAGTACATCCTCATTCAAAATGTTGTCTTGGTAGATAGCAATGGATGGTCTGTCGCCCGTCAAATGTTGGGATCACTAAGACTCAGCCTTGATTAATGCTATGGCGTCTTCAGGCCCAAATCTCATCAGTGCCTATCAAGAACACGAATGATCCAATCCATGCCTTCCTTACCCTCTTTGAGCCCATATTTGAAGATCAGAGGAAAACAATGCATCTGCCTTTCCCACGACAGCCACTCTCCAGAGACTCCATGCTCCTTGCATTTGTTTCGAAAAGCCACAGCCTCAGGAGCTAGTACGTCGTAGGACCCTGTTACTCCATAAATGCGAACGTTGTGTTGTAAAAAGACCCCAAGATCGGCGTGGGTAGGAGATACTCTGGGGTCATTCAACCCCCAGTCGCAGCATCCATGACTGTCACCTCGATTTCGTTGCAAAGTCTCGCTTGACTCTATACTTGTCTCCCCGGAACACCATGCCTCAGCAGTGGCTTTGATAGATTCGATTGTGTGGAGTGAATCGGATTTCTCCACCACTCTGATCTCTGGGAGTTCATGACGGAGGTCTACGGTAGGGCTGATAGCCATGATAGCAACAGGTGGGTTCGAAACCTCTCTCTTTGAGTGTTTCAACGTGCAAGCTACGAGACTTAGTGCAATGTTACCGCCTGAACTATCACCAGCAACAATAACTCTTTCGCCGGCGTCGTGTGATTCGCTTAGAAGAGAAAGGTATGCTCTTTGAATACGAGGAAATGCAACTGAGACAGGATGTTTCGGCGCGAGAGGTGCGGAGATAATCGTAACTGTTGTGTTGTCGAGCCGTCGGACGAGTTCCATGCAAAAAGTCCAATGATTTTTGCTCGGTGGCATCTGCCATCCTCCCCCAGCAAAGTACACGATTCTTCGTTGACGCCGCGGGCTTGGTTTTCTGTCTTTCTTGCCATCCGATTCTTGGGTGATATCATACAGCCATAGTCCCTCCAATTCCCTCTCTTCTATATGGCACTTTCGTATGTTCTTAGGTGGTGTCAGGCGCTCCGCGTTGGGCGGCAGCTTGGACGGGGATGCTAGCTTAGGCCTAAAGGGTTTGATGGCGACTTGTAGCAGTAGCATCAATAAAGACCGATCGTTTCGTTCATAAAATAAGAATGTTCCTTCAGTTCTCGGCTTATCGTGTGTTTCCATGCTGGAGTTGTAGTGATGCTGCCAAGACGTTAAAGACTGCGTGATGACCGCCGGCGGGAACGCGGCTAACGGGAGCAGACAACAGGACGGCAGAGCCTTCGTGATGATGAAACACTCCACTTAAGCAATCATAAAGGTATTCTTGTGTGTTAAAACGGATCAACGAAGCATGTTGGACATGAGGATGTCGTGGATGATGTGCAAATACCGGTGTGAGGCCTTGCGAGACAACGGCGCGCTAAACCAAAGACGTCATGGCTGCTTTGACGTCACCATTTGAGGGCATCAGCGGCGTGTAGCCATAGCCTACTCTGCGCTCTTGCAACTGAAGTAGAACAAGATTCCACCAAAAGAATTATTGTTTCAAGTCTTACATGCTGATGAAAGTTGTGATTATCTTGACTAGCACTGGAACAACCCCTTCCACGCCTTCTATGCCCTTCTCCTTCTATGCCCTTCTACGCCTGCCCCCGGTTCAAAATGTCAGCCAAAAAGAGTCCAAACCACATGGGAGTTTGGCGGCCTACTGTGTACAATGACTGGCTGAGTTGCTATTGTAACTTAAGTGAAACAAAGCCCAGGAAGGTGTGCTCGTAAAATGGAGGTGCCGCGCCTACCACTGCTGTTGACAAATTTGATCAATTTTCCATAGAGTGGCTTGAATTAGAAAGTCGGAAGGATCGGAGACTTGATGATAATAACAACATACTAATACCTTATCACTTCCTTCAGGCAGTAAATTCAAAGTTCACAGACGCTGCGCATTGTGATTATAGAGTTCGGAATTAACTTGCGACATTTCATATGTGTTGAATAGCACATAACCAACAAGAAAGGAAATCCCTATCCTCGCGAAGAAAGCACCATAGCACGTGTTACTGATTCACCTCACTGATAGCCGGTCCTCCATTTGCTACCGCCTCTCCATTAAGGGGCACCTCTTTCTGACGGTTATCCACGAATCCCCAATCTTTCTTGAGACCATCAAGCCACTCCTTGGAGGAAACTTCTTCTCCACCTGAGCGCAAGCCATCAGCATTGATGCTACCACCTTTGATAACGCGACCGCCGAAAGATCTGAGGAAGGTTATCTTGTTCCATTTGGCCAAGCGTAACCAAGTGTGAGTTTTCTTGCACATGAGGCTTCGCAAGGTGCCACTCATGATTCCGCCTTCGTGCAATGAGTTCCAGCAGTCGTTACAGAAATCAATGTCGTGGCAGTAGAGACAATGGTAAAAGTCCATGTCGGAACCCAATGCTTTCGAACAGTTGTCACACCAAGTTCCACCTGATAGATAGACAACATCAGTCCACTTCAGCAGTGTCTCTCTTATCCTACTGTAATGGCTATTGGTGCTTTCGTCTACGCCTTCTTCAGCTTTGGGCTGGATCTCTTCCAGTGTCCTTAGAGCCATCATGATTTGCAAGTAGGCGGAAGGCTGCCGATGTCCTTGCAGTTTAGCCAACAGCTCTGCTATCACAGCCTTCGATTCGTCGTCCTCAAAGTCAAGAAGATATTCCACGAAATCGAACCCTGAAGTCCAGGGAAGTCGAAGCGAGAACGCGGCCAGAGCATTGGCGTTGTCACCAAGCTGGGCCAAGGTGCAACCCAAGTCGTAATAAGCACTACTGTCGTTGAACTCATATTCGTCCGATAATTGTTCGAAGGCTGAATCTATTCTGGTCTGGAGGACACTTCGAGCAGCGAGATGGTCTTTCTGGAGCATGTAGTAGGAAGCAAGGTGTGAGCTTGAAGACGTAAAGCCAACGGAGCCCTGTATATCGGCGAACCATCTCATGCGTTCGACAAGACGGTGATGTTCCTCCTCCGGAGTATCCGCCAAGACCTCAAAACGATCAGCGCTCAGCAGTGTGGCAGCTAGGTTCCGTTCCGAAATACTGTCTGACTCTATGCTCTTTTCCAAGCATCGAACCCATGCGAGTCGAGCCTCCTCTTTTTGGTGACTGAAATAGTACAGCCAAATACCTCTGTAAATCAGAAGCACCACCTCGTGAATTTGTGTCTCCGCATTTTCCAAGCCCTCTTTCATGGCATCTAGGAAACGATGCAGGACGTCCGTATTTCGTTCTAACAACCTGAAACATCGAAGGAAGGCTTGCTCGAGCGATATGTTGTAATCTGCTGCGGACATTCGAGCAAGGACTCGATGGATCATCGATGATGATCCTTGATCCTTGCTCATGTCAAGCAAACGGCGCAATAGTCGTGTGACCTGCTCGGAGTTCTGGCATTCCAAGCAGAGCTTCAGAGCGTCCAACTGTGAATCGGGACTCTCAGGTGCTCGTTCTGAGGCCTTGGTGGTGTACTCCTCAACCTTCTCGTGGTCTTTGAGGCTACTGTACCACTCTGCAAGCTTGAGATAGGTCGATATTGTTTTGGCCTGGTCTGGGTTGTCCTCACTCTCCATAATAACTAATGCCTTTTCCAACTGTCGGCATGATTCGTTCAGCTTTTCTGGCTTCATATTGGCAAAGCAATGCGCTAGTCCCTCGAGGCATGACTTCTCCGACCCACCAAGCTCAAGAGCTTTGTTGAAAGCTTTCACTCCATCGTCGTTGCGGTCGAGCGACCTCAGTGTTTCTCCCAGTCGTTGATGCCAGAGGGCATCTTTAATGTTGTCTTTGAGAACTTTTGTACACCACTCTTCGACATTTTCGATCGGCGAAACTTCATCGGCAGGAACCTCTTCTGAGACATCCTGCTGGTCTGAGGGCATCGGGGGCTGGATTGGGTTAGTAATCTCGTCCATATCATAGGCATGGGGTGGAGAGACTGGAAAGCTGACCATGGCAAGGTAGCCTTTGATCCATTCGAAAGGCCTCGAAGCCTCCCATTCTTCATTTCGCAGCCACCTCCGAGCGATTGTCTTCATGATTCGTGCCAGCAAAGCCTGATTCGGGTTGCTATCATTCTCAACCTCTTCGAGCCATTCATGATCTCGAGGACCGAGCTTAGCAGTGGCCGCACCGTCGCCAAGCCAGCGTCTAAAAACCATGACATCCTTGGCCTCGCCGTACCAATCAGCATATTCGCAGCTTCTCCAATGCTTCTCAATAACATTAGAGAAAAGCATATGATAAAGGCCTGAACCTATCTCAGATTTCTCATCATTGGTCAACACATCAGTTCCATTGCACTGTTCGAGTGCCTCCAGATGCCTTGGAAGGCAACGCAGCAGGTATGAAGCGATTGCCTTGGTTCGTTCACTGGGCTCATTTGCCAAGAGATTAAAAGTACATCGTACGATCGCCATGTGGCTATCGAGGAAGTTGGCTTTGATGGCGCCCTTCATGTCAGTTCGTTCTCCAAGCTGTTGGAAAATTAGGCTTTCCTGGTTGATCTTTTGTGACAGAGTCCACAGAAAAGTTTGTACCCTATGCAATTCACCCTTGCTTATAGTGATAGTTGCACTGAGCATTTGAGGCTCATCTTTGTGCCCCGGGGCCGCTCTTGGTTTCAAGACTGCCTTGATCATGTCTTCATCCATCTTGGCGAACCCATCTTCATCTAGCTTGATGAGAGGGGCATACTTCCCTTTGAGCTTTTTGCTCAGTCGCAGCATCGATTTTTTCTTGCCACCCAAGAACTACGTTATTTCGCTTGTTAGTTTCGCTCGCATGATTCTATGATATCAACATTCTGCTCACCAATGCCGCCTCTAGGGCTTGAAAATCAAAGTATGAGTACCCGTAGATGACCCACATCAACAGCTCGTTCAACTCTCGAACTTCGGCAGCGTTTAGCTGCTCCTGCAACTGTCGAATGACGGTTCCCGAAAAGTTTTCCTCATTTTTCTTCGAGTCATTGAGTATCCGATTTATTTCTGCTTCTTCGTCTGGGTCGTCTGCCTCTACAACCCTCCGGATACGGTCGATTGACGTTCTCGCTCTCGTAAAATTTCCCTTTACTTTGCTGACCAGTTTCTCCTGAATCATTCCTCTCATTTTGACAGAGTCTTCGTCCAACTCTTGGAATATTTCGTTGTCCTTGAGTTCTGACTCGATGAATCTCTGCATGTCCGCGACGGTGTGGTCCTGAATGTCGAACTTTGTCAAAGCCAGGTCTCTGAGAGAAATGGCTGTTGGCTCCGATCTTGCTGAAACTGCGATTCGGGGCCCAATTTGGCTCTGTCTTGTGCGAGTTTCCGACGACGAAGATGCCAAAATCTCGAAGAAATCCTCTCTTGACTTTTGGAAAGGCTTGGATAGGCCTTCTATTCCATCGATAATGATGAAATGAGTATACTTCTTCCGCGGTGATGCAATGTCTAGGAGGTACCAAAGTTCTCTGGCTGTGGCATTGTTGAGCCTTTTCTCAGCATCGGATTTGTCCAAAGATTTGGACAGTTCCTTGGCATATTGCTCGTCCTGCTCTGCTATCATGTACGCAATACACTTGATTGCTGTCTCAATTGGGCGTTTCTCCTCACCATCTTTGCCTGAAGAGTTCTGGAAGAAATAGGCAGAAACACAACTCCGCGAAGAAGAGTTCGAAGTGTCTACTCCTCGGAGGCTGCGCGCGATGGATGCCAAGAGAGTAGACTTCCCTGTGTTCTGCTCACCGATGACCAGCAATATTTGATTGGCATCCGGGTTCTTGATATCTGCCCACTTGCCATATTCCGGATAATCGTTGTGGTTTTCGTACCATTCCGCAGTGCGAGGAGTACGTTGCGTCGACAATGCTTTGCCGATGTCTTCGGACTTTTTTACCTGCTCTTCGAGGTTCAACTTCTTTTTGATGGTTTTCAGCTCATTCCCCCGTCTCTCTGTCGCATTTCGCGCCTCGTCTCTCCTTTGCATCATCTGAAGTATCTTGCTGACATTCCCCCCTGTTTCCGAAGCCTCATCCAAGAGCTTGGTGATGTCACTCCTACTTTCTAGTACAGTCTTCAAAGCTAACGTGGCCTTTGTTGAGTCGTGATACTTGGAAAGCTCCTGAAATCTTGTGATTGCGTTATCGAGGTCTGATTCCTCAAAAGCAAGTTGCTTTGCGGTGACTTTGAACTTTTGCCATGTCCGCATGGACCGGAGCGATACCGACAAGGCACAAATATCAACAAAGCAAATCATGAGCATGTGTATAGCACGCTTCAGTCTGTAGTCGATCTGATCGAACTGGCTCATGTCGCCATAGATCTCGAAATCCGACAGACTTGGCCACAATGCGTCGAGAAGGCTATCTACCCTATCCCAGAAATTCTCAACTTTCTCGGGGATGTCGAGCAGCATTGCAAAAGCACTGAAGCATATCTTGGACGGTGCAAGAACCTATTTCGTAGTCAGCATATATCCGAAACGTGAAGAACATGCATTGCCAGGAGACGTACCATTTCGGCGCCTTCAGCAACAACGCCTCCAAGGAGCTTCAAGCACCGTAACGTGTTCAGTGTGTATCTTGTCAGCTTATGACGCTTTTCAGACGTGAACGGCGCTTTCTCGGTACTGTTAGAAGGTCTAGCGGCCTCTATTCTTCGAAAACAATCATCCAGGCTTATGCCTGGGTTTCGCTCCAGCTTTCGGCCAGTCTGCTCCTGGAACCTTCCGGAGGCGGCTTCCCACATGTCCACAAAGGACATTTTTTCGTAGTTGGTGGTCATTGCGAATAGAAGTGATGCGGGGAAACTCGAGTTTTCTGATGGCACAATGTACCTATAATGCTGAGGAGAAGGGAAGAAGCTATGGTTGCTCTAGGCTAGTGGTCTCTGATATCCGCCGGCTGCTCAAAAATTTGCTTCAACTCGGGAGCCCTCAACAATTGCAAACAGAGGACGAGGATCGCGCAACAGATCCTCGTCTTATCAGTGATTTCTGCACGCCCAACCTCTTTCCAAACACGGTTCAATGGGTTCTATTGTCATATATGATATACTTCATGGACTTTTGATCAGCTACGCTGCAAGGGTACGCTCTCCTGTGTATGTTGACAGGGCTTTTGGAAGATATCGTCTGACACCGTTGCCCCAAGAGCTGCAGTACAGACGAATAGAATTGATCCAATGTAGCCACCCATTTTCTTGGTAGCATTGCAGGATAAGCGTGATCAATTGGTGTTGTTACACAAGCGCTAAGCGTACAAGTTGGAGTCTCAAACAGGCTGAGCTGGACGTGGACATCTCAAATTTGTACACTACGAAGATCATGTCAGCCCTGCAGTGGCGTAACAATATTGAGTCGTATTCAGCTAGCTTTAGGCAGGCTGAGTTGAGAATATTTCTTCATGGACCAATCCAGAGAAAGATGGGGCATCCCACGAAACGTTTGCGAAGCAGTAGGCCCTGGCTGAGACGAGATGGGGAACCTCATAACTGGCTGCGAAGGTTCAGGAAAGAACGGAACCTCGACAACTGCTGATTAAGGCATCCTGGCATCTGATGATTAGACAATGTGGTGATATCACCCCTCCATTCAGCGCCAGTTGGTACGAAGGGATGCCCTCACAAATCGACCCAACTCCCCTCCACTCTGATTTTGACCAACCACTTTCATGAACCACACAACAATATTCTGGTAGTTGCCTAGAAGGAAAAGGTTTTCCCACTTATCACACATGAAAGTAGCCGCCCCCACGGGCGGTGTCTGTTCATCCTGTAATCAGGTTCCTATCAGCACGCTGATCCACGATTATGAGACGGGTTTGGCCCAGCGCGTAAAGAAACTTGCGTACATGTACATTGACTTGACTGAGATGATGAGGTATAACTACTGATCATTTCCACTCAAAGTACTCATTTCCATCATGGGCTGAGTTGACGCAGCATTTGCCAATGTTGTTTATCTCCCTGTGGTTGAGGCAACATCCAATCTCCAAGTACGATCGTTCCACACAGTAATAGCCTCTCGATGATTGCATGCCTTAAGCGATAGGCAGACAATCAGCAATTGCACTACTGAGGTGCTCGAGTTGAATGTTTCTTGGTGATTCAATTAGTCGCGACTCTCAGAGTGACATTGACGGTCTCCTCTGTCCGTCACGTTGTCACCTACGGAGAACGTGATCAGCTCCAAGCCTTAAACTTTGAAAAACAGTGACAATTTGACGATTAAGCGAACGGCGACAGCTCTTTCACAGGCGCATACTAAAGTACTTATCATGGGCAATTAGAGGCCGATGACATTGAAGTCAAGACAATCTTGTTCTAGACCCACTGGTACATCCATGACCTTCCCTTCTTCGTCAGTGTGGCAATCTATGCCGGCACAACTTAGGCGAGGGCAAGAATAGGCGATTTCCCGCAGGACTCTCCATGCATTGCAGTGACAAAGCCGCCAAATTAAGCATATGGGATTTTTCATTAGCGATGACGAAAACCCCCTTTCCGCTGCTGTGAAAACAACAGCGTTCCCACGTGCGTTGCATTTTCTACGTCATTGGCCTGTCTCATGAACCCTGTATCCTTGGCTCTAACAAACCGTCCCCGCACCAACTCATCAACAGTGACAGCGCGGATCCCTGAATTGCAATGCAAAATCTCCAATCTGATCTTTTCCCGTCAAGCCCGTCCAATCCTCGCGTCAGAGCTTCTCACGCCTGTCCCTATGCCGAGCCTTCCTCCTTGCTGGCAGTCCCCGCCACAGAAGACATGGACGTGTTTTTCAGCCCCCTTTCCCTGTAGGAGACGGCCTACCTTGATAGATTGAAGCGGTGTGGGTTTGCCACAGTTGACATACAAAATACTCCAAGCGCGTGGCGTGTTTCTTTGGCGCTACCTTATCTCAAGAGCCGACGATTTATGGCCCAACTTGCAGACAAAGGATTTTGATTCACACATAGCATCAATGTCGAGCAGGTGTTTTTTCGCCCTTGCGGCGCTATCGGTCTTGAGCAGTGCTGCTTGGACTAGCTCCGACAGTTTCGACTACAGCGCCCTTAGCTTGAGGGAAGTTGGCGCCCGCAATACAGAGGTGAATAGCCCATAAACTGAAGTTGGCTTGTCCTACATGCTGAACACGCGACTTTAGGAGTGGAGGATATGGCTCGAAAAAGACGGGGACCCCGTTTCCTTCTGGCATGATGTGCCAGTCTGGCCGGATGAAAGCAACAAGCAAGTGGTGAATCTTGTGGTTGAAGTACCCAGATGGCAAGATGGCAAAATCGAGCTCAAGAGGAGCGAGCCATTGAGTAAGTCTCTTTCGATAGAAAATACTTCATTGAGCTAATGGTCATTATTTCCAGATCCCATCGTTCATGACTCTCTTAATGGCGCTCCTAGATACGTGGAGAATGTGTGGCCACACAAATCGTACCCTTTCATATACGGGTCTATCCCGCAAACATGGGAAAGTCCAAATTACAACCATTCTTTTACTCATCTTTTAGGTGACAACGACCCTGTGGACCTCTTCGACATTGGCCAAGAGTAAGTCACAGGCAGACTCCTGCTTTATCAGGTCTCACATATAGTCAAGGCCGAGAGGCTGACTCCTTATCTAGTCGCGGTCACGTTGGTCAGGTAAAACAAGTCAAGATTCTCGGTGGTCTTGCCTTGGCTGATGTAAGTCCACGACATATTGGATCGTCGGCCCATCATGTGAGATGTGCTAATGGCAGCCTGTCAAAGGGCAATGAAACGGATTGGAAAATACTCGGCATCGATATCAAAGATCCCATGGCGTCTATTATCAATTGTGAGATCTCTAGCCAGTTCTGGTGACAGTGTTCCATCAGCTGACTTATTCAAAGCCTTCGAAGATGTTGAGAAGTATCGTCCTGGGACCATCAAGACATTTCGAAACTGGTGGACTGTGAGTCTCAAATTGATATGCCGTGCAAAGAAAAGCTACCTAATACTTGGCAGCATTATAAGGTAGCTCGAGGGGATCCAGTCATCAATATCATTGGGGACTGGTACCAGAATGTCACCTACATGCAAACCGTCGTCGAGGAAAGCCATAAGGCTTGGGCAGAGTTGATCAGAGGGGAGGTTGACTCCAACGAAATCAATTACAACCAGACCTCGCGGCCAGAAGTCGAAAACAGCTTTGTAAACAAAGCAACAACGACCGCAAAATTCAATGTCCCAGCACAGAGCAGAATCGATCCTGCAGCTCCAAGGCCAGAAAAGGCTGACCGCTGGTACTACCTGGACAGCGACGCCAACTTGATTGTTCTCCCTCAAAAACAACAAACGTTTCTCAATAGGCAACAGGTCTAGCTTCTTCTTTGAACAAAACTTCATTTCTTTTGAACTGGATTTAGCACGATATGTGTCTGCCTTTCTTTCAGCATCGCGGTCGTTGACTCATGTCAGGTTCATTCTATGGTCAAACAGGTAGAAATAACGAGTAATAAGATGAGAGAGTATACAGATCTACCCAATTTTCCATTCCTTGAATGTTTGCTCGTTCCTTACAACTTCCCTCTCATTCTTCCGACACTTCCTTGAGACCCGGCTCTCTGACTCGCAATTCTTCCGTGGAGTCTTCAAGCCCAAGACCCACTAAATTCCGCAGCCCTACCCGGGAGCTTATTTCTGACTTTCCCCGATGTGACACCTTTTCGCCCATCTTCAACGTCGTTTCTTTTTACTAGCACTATCGCTATACCTCACTCCAGGTTTCGAGACAACCCTCCTCCTTTCCTATCCCTCACTCTCAATATCAGCCAGTTTTTGCGTCGAACTCACCGCGTATTTGCAGTCAGTATTCAACGACCTTGGAAAATTTGCATGCGACAAACGAAACCTCGCCCATGAGTCAAGCCTACCTACTATTTAGCCCCACCAACTCATACTGTCACCCACCATTGTCCACACTGAGGCCTCATCCATAATGGGTGTCCCGACTGGCGATCCGGAAGACTTTGAAATGGATTTGGGCAATACCCAAGATCCGGTTCATTCTGGTGTCCCTGCTGATGCCTCTCATCCCAGGGTAGGATTGGCTGCACCAGAATCAGTGTACATGGTCCCAGTCAGTGTCATAGGAGGTGCATCGACAGTCACCTTGACCCAAGATGGGATGCTGCAGCAAAGACAGGGCACGCGAGACATCAAGCGAGGTGCGCGCGGACTGCCTAGTCGGAAGCCAAGCCCAGCGCAATACTACAGACATGTCAAGACATCCGCGAAAGTGGAGAAGCAGAAGTCAAGGAGGTGGAAAAATAAAACCGCCGACTCAAGACTTTCCTCCGAATTGGATCGACTCCTTGTCGGCGACGACAACCCTGAAGACCCTTCCTTCGGACAATCACCTATAGCCTACAAGGTCCAGCACCCATTGCGAGCCGCTCTGCAGAGTCTTCCTGGCTTCGCATTTGATGACGAGCTGGACAGCGTCATATTCGGAAAACATCGGCGCGTTTCGTTCGGTCTGGCTGATATCATGGAGCAAGGTGGGCGTGACGCAGTCAAAGTTTGGCTCGAGGAGTTTCTCTTGCTTGCTTTCCAGACGATGGAAAATATTGTCGCACGCCACCCGCAGTTCAATCATATGGACGACGTTCCCATGGGCTTCGTCATCTTGGCCAGAGAAATGGAGTCGACAACCGACAAGTCGCCCGCATCTAGATCTTTCTCGCGAGTGCGGAGAACTATGGAGAGACGGCTTCGTCAAAGCTACGATCTGCGAAGGCTCATGGACTGGGTTCTCGATGCTCGTCGAAAATTTCTAGGATCAAAGCCGAAGCCCATGCCTGGTTTCGGAATCTTTGGGCAGGCGGCGGTGGAGGAGGGAACCGAGCTCGAGAAGAAGTTATGGGCAGCTATAGATGCGCAGATGACTGATGCAGCAAGATATACACCGTGTTGACGTGTGGGTAGATGATCAGGGTTTAGTATTTGAAGCACAAATAGCTTTATCAATGACAGATACGCTCAACTCTGTGGCGGGCAGCAAAGAGTCCCGTTCTATCTTTACGACCTTGCCAAAAGACCTATTTGTGAATAGACTCATGACTGCGTACTCTGGCCTTTTCTGCATCATCAACGCCACTGGAGACCTTCTTTGCCACACATCTCCCGGGGTGCCAGATAGAAAGCAATATCACCGCCAACACCACGGGCGCGAACTCAAGCACGCCAAAGAAAACCTCATTCGAATAGAGATATCCACCAAGTCCCTCCGCAGTCTCCGCAAGGCGGAAGCAGGTACGCAAGTAAATCAGCAATGTCGCCGCCGAAAATACAGCCACGAACGTCGTGAGCTTGTGCTCTCTGATTGCTGTTCGAGCTCGGAAGAGGAATATGGACGTGGTGATGACGAAGCATCCGATTGAGAAGACCTGGTAGGCAAGTCCTCCAAGCAAGATATTGTTAGCTGTCGTGGGGTCTTCGCGGCGCGATTGCTTGACTCCAATCAATGCGGCGCCAGAGATCTGCGTGATGGTTGCGATGGCATCCGAGGTGATGAAGAACCACAAGACCACTTTAGGCGGTAAAGGCGAGAACCGTCGCCCGAGGCGGTTGATGAGTGCGGATAGAATAGTGTAGATGCCGGCTGCGAGGAATACTGGTGCCGTGACGATGAAGAAGTAGTTGAGGATGAAGTAGATGAGGTTATACGGGTTCGCTTTGGCGGAGAGAGAGCGGGCCACGTAACCGACGATTTCGAACAAAAGGCCGATTGGGAAGGTGACGAAGTACCAACTGCGGTATCGGATGATCTGCCACGTGTGGACGATGAGAAGGAGGAAGAAGAGGACGTCGGCGAGAACTGTCAGAACAAAGGATGGGGTGTAGCCATAGATAATGACTGGTGTGTCCCATTTTCCGCCAGGGTTGACGAAATTTGGGTCGACATAGCCGTACGTAGCTTTGTCGGTAGTGTCAGTGCTGATTCTTGAAGCTTGAGCGGTTGAGTATGTCTGTCTCACCTCTTGCTTCACTCATTGTTTGGTTTCGGAATCTTTCGCCTAAAAGCGGTTTTGTGTCTGAGGCTTGGGTTAGAAGGGGGGGGGGATATTGCGTACTGATGGCTTACACGACAGGTCTTGGTGTTGGATGGGAAGGCTGACCTTTAACATCGGCGAAGTGGTCACTGGAGTATTGTATGGAGACAAGGGGCGTGCAACTCATCAGCCACATCGCTACCTGAACGATCTGCCAAGGGAGCATGTTGACACGCAGATCGAAAACAACGGTTCAGAACGGTCTGCCAAGCTGAGACCTCGTGGCAGCTCATCCCTTTCCGACACTAGCGGGTGGAGAATGGGGGTTTGCAGAACATGCCCCTATCCTTTCGCGATGATGTGTAAGTACTCTCGTCCCGTATCCACATCGACGACGGATACTTGTCAGGGTAGAGAAGAACTTCACACACATCACAGGTTCTGGCTCTTTAGAGCAGGGCTGATATCTATGAATCATCATTCCGTATATCCTGGTTCATTCTTCAAGCCACATTCTTATTTGAACAAACCTGCATAACATGAGCATGCCCCTTTTGGGCATTGTTCCGGCCGAGAGTTTGCTGGGAGCTTTTCTCGGCCGACGACAATGCAAGAACTCATCTGATTGGCCAAATCATACTTTCCCAGCTGCTCTCTCAACGTCTTCAGGTCTTCTTATTAACAATAGCCTCACGTGAATCTTAATTCTCCTGCGCCGAAACTCTTGATGATTTAGTTTTTTCCAAGCGGACGACCGCGAAGGTGCTACGCGGAAGTCACGACTACGCCGTTGAATAGTCTTAGGTCTATGGTCTAAGTAGCCCATCCGGCGAATTGCTTGCCATTTCCGTACTGTCGTCCGTGTATGAGCTCGCACCTCGGCAATGCCAAGAAGTCCGAGGTCCGGGGTTTCAGTGGGTCTACAGACCGTCACGGCACCTGCTTCCGTTGCGGCGCACGGCGGCATCGACAATTATGACGGCGAAGTTTTGTTTTAGTGGTTCATCCAATCTCGTTTTTCTTTGTTCATTAGACACGATATTTGTCTGTAAGTTAGGGAAATATACCCAGACGATACCAGAACGTTGCCTTCGAAACAGCACTTGATGTAGAATGTTTTTCATACAGAATACTTGTGCTTTGAAGCACCTTTCTTATTTTAGTGTGTGTCTACAACCACGACACCTATCAAATCATCGAGCGGCAGTTGTGTCAACACAAGGCAAGCTCATAGAAAATGAGCAAAATCTACACCCGGGTTACTCCACGCTTACTTCCCAAAATGAAGGCTTCGGAGAGAAGACAATTGGCTTGTGAAGAGTGCCATAGAATGGGGTAATGCATCGTATTGTGGGGGAGCACATCTCCCAATATGGAATCGTGGGACTAGGCAATCCCTGAGGTAGACCCAAATGAGAGAGGCTTCGAGAGGTGGTTCCAGCCTTTCACTCGCCCACATTACTGCCTTGAAAACGAACCAAAGAACCTCAGCTGCTAGTAAATTTGTGTCATGGGTTTAGTGCGTGAATTCCGATAACACGATGACGAGACTTGAAGGAAGCATTAGAATGACAAGATGTATGGGATCGCGGAGTGACTGATAGGTGAACATAAATCTATTAACTAGGATATCTGGCGTTCAGCATGGTTTTGGGAAGGATTTTGAGTTTTCTTTTTCCTTCTTTTTTTTTGACAGCAGTAGCTCCATATCCGCAGACACTCTGTTGCAAAGCCATGTACCACCCAACAACAAGAACGCACTACTGGCTTTGAAATAGGTATTACATCTATCTTCTATGTCTAATAAATACTATTCTATGGTCATATGCTCGTTATTTGGTCGTCTCAATGTTGAATAGCAAACGCTTCTCGTGCTGTCTTGCTGCTCCGAGCAAGGCTATCACCAAATCTGATAAAGATAAATGGAATTACCCCCATGGCTAAGGCAATGAAGCCCAGAACTGATGGAGCCCAGTGAACTCCGAGGTTGCCATACATCTTGCCTGCCGCCAGAGGCAGGGTAATGGCTCCTATCGAGCGCGTCATGCTGGCCGCTGCATGTGCTGATGCAGAATATTGTCGGAAAACGTCTGTGAGGTAGTTGATCATACCCATGAAGAGCAGATTGAATCCGCAGCCAAAAAGGACACCGCTGAACATGGGCAAGACCGGAGAAGTGGACGGCCATACGGTCCAGCCAAGCCAGAACAGAGCGATGACCATTCTACAGAAACAGTTGTTAGTTGTGGCTCTTTATCATTTGTGAGGTATGAGATCATAGAGGGTGCACATACTGAGGAGCGGCAATACACGCCAGGGGCAATCTGCGATTAATAGGCTTCAGGGCCCACTCGACCCCGGCTTTGAACTGCTTGTCATGATAATGTGTCCATGCCGAGAAGATGGCAAGGGCAAAGAAAACTCCAAGAACAACTTCGCAGGCATGTTAGCTTAGTTCATCGTCAATTGCAGCATCTTGGACGTCGTCTTACCAGGCAGGAACGCGAGTCCGGCCATCCCGGGAGACATGCCATAAAAGTCTTTGAAAATGACTGGGTAAGCCTGAAACAACAGGTAAAACACAGAGTACGCCATCGTCAGATACGCAGATGTCGCCATCAGGATTGGCTCGGTGAAGAGGAGCTTCATGGGCCGGAGGAAGATCTTTCGTACGTTAAAGGGCTGCAATTGCAGTTGCTGTTGCTGTTTGCCATCAACCGCGCCCTTGTTTTGCTTCAGCTGCCTCTTGACTGCGTTATTGTGTAAAACAGGCGCGTACGTCTCTGGCAGAGTAAGTACAAGAGGTAGTCCGCATACTCCGAGGATACCAGCGATCCAAAAGGGCCATCGCCAAGACATCGGGGACGAGAAGCCCGAAACAATGGGCCCGATGAGTGGGCCAACGGTTGTGACTGTCATGTAAAGTGCCATGGCGTTTCCTCGAACGGCGGGATTATCGAGGATGTCGGCATAGAGTCCTCCGATGACAGTAGTTGGCGCTGCAGCGTTGATGCCACAGAGAAGACGGAAAACTAGCAGCACCGGGTAGGTTGGTGCTCCAGAACAGGCCAGCATGAAGGTAATGTATCCGCAGTATGTCCCGATGAGCACCGGTCGTCTGCCGATGTACTCGCTCAATGGTCCAAAAAGCAAAGGCCCAAGCACGTATCCGCACATGAAAAGCGAGTTGAGAAGGATCAGATGGACGCGGTCGGTAACTCCGAATTGTTCGCTAATGGCGTCAAGTGCGCCTGAAGGCATGGATGATCCGAGATTGCCATTGAATGTGCAGGTAAAGCCGGCTACGACAATGTGCAGTTTGCGCAGCTAGTGCAGAAAGTTAGGATGTTGTTCAGCCGAAATGTTCGACGCAAGAGCCACTTACAGGCGACAAAGTCGTAGCGTCCAGCAAATCCTCCGTTGTTTCCTTCAAAGATGAGCCATCGGAAGTGTCCCCGCTCATCTCAACATCCCTTGCCGTCGTGGATTCTTGTTTTCGGTCTCCATCTTCTTCGTTTGTGTATTCAAACGGATGTGCGTCCATTATAGTCCTCGAGTGTACTTTGCGTCTGAAATCTGCTCGATATGGTTCGTCTAAGTTGTTGTGGTCTTGCCTGTGCAGTGCAGTCCTGATCAATCAGACTGTCACTGAACTGCTCAGCTCCTCTTATATGTTCTAGCAACTCCATATTTGCCCATTGCTACCCGAACATACAAAAGAAAAAACTTCTAGAAGACCCTGCTAGATAATCTTACGTATTTGGTTCCATTTTCCTACTGCATTCAATGTTTCGCAAGTCGTTCGGAAGTAGAACAAGTCATTTTCCATAGTTGTAATTGGTTCAAGTGTCCGACGACAAGCTGCCCAAGTTTCCGCACTAACAGAAATTGAAGGCATGTGAAAAGTGAAAAGAGATCTGATTGGTTCTTATTTCCGAAATTGCAAAATTCTGCTGACATAACTCCCGAGGCCACATTTCTCGGTATTTGGATAATCCACCACAACTTCCGACTTATATCCAGCCCTGTCCACATTGCCTCCACAACCTTTGCGTCAGCGCAGTCAAGAGCGCGCGCGCCATCACACCTGAGATGCTAAGATCGAATCTAGATCCCGCTCGGAAACTACGCTTCCAGAAAGCGGCTTACAGTCAGTACTGAGTCATGTCCGCCGCAGGGCGTAGAGGCGCATCTTCTCCGACAGGATCGGCGTCTGGCCAGGCGTCGAAGAAAGCGAGAACCAGTATGGCACCCCCGGTCCTCCGCCTCTCCCTTTCACTGGCTCCTCTCTCATTCTCAAGAAGAATTCTGACCGACAATGTTGTCTCTGGTAACTAGACGGCAGGGCCTGCGTGACGTGTCATCAGCGCAAAGTGCGTTGCGACATTCTTGAGAAGGGCACGCCATGCTCCAAATGCGAAGCAAATAACATTGCCGACTGTCGAATCTTTGAGAAGAAGAAAACTAGGTCTTCGACAAGGGTATCTCGGAGTCCCAATATCTCTATTCAGCCAAGGACAACAACGGCGCCGAGCTCTAGACCCACAAACACGCCAACAGCATCGAATGCTGCCAGTCCGTGGGTACCTGTCAACGTTGACTCGCGGCCAGCATCGGCTCCAGGAAACGAGCTCAATGCTCAGACCCATTACGCCACGGAGGTTGCAACGCGAAATTTGGCTGACTTTCTTGACCGAGAAGAGACGGGATATCAAGATATCCTACCAAGCGGCCGGCTCTACTTCATCGGGACTGAGTTCTCGAACTTGAACTACCTCGTTCGGCAGCGATCTCAGCGGCCCGATCAAAATGTCCTACATTTCGGGAGTCACCCTCTTGCCCCGAGAATGTCTTCAGTGCCACCCGAAGCATTGGAACTACCTACCAAGGCTTTGGCTGATGAACTTGTTCAGGCTTACTTTGTGCACATCAATCGCGGTATTCCCATTGTTGACGAAGAGTTCTTCATGAAAAAGTACAACAACACAGAGACCAATGAGGACTTTGCTAGGCAACGGCCATTATCATTACTTCTGCTAAACGCTATACTACTTGTCGGGGCACATGTATTGTCCAATGAGCGCGATGAGCTCAAGGCATTGAAGGCGGTCTTCTTCAAACGAGCGAAAGCTTTGTTCGACTGTCGGTTTGAGCAACATCGCGAAACGTACTTACAAGCTGCCATCCTTCTGACCTGGCAATGCGATGACCTCGAGGATGTCATCTCGAATTCATGGTATTGGATCGGCATTGCTGCTCGAACGGCATACGGAATGGGCATGCATCGAGATGCTACACCATCAGGTCTAAATGTCATGGATAAACGCCTATGGCGGAGGCTGTGGTGGACTTTGTATCAATATGACGTCTTGGTTTCCATGGCTCATGGTAGACCTCAAGCCATGTAAGTGGACGGCTCGGCCGGTCGTCCTCGCGATTCGCAATATGTTCCAACTGACCCTCTACTCCTACAATAGAAGCCTTGACGATTCCGATGTACCACTCATCGAAGAATGTCATCTAGAAGATACACCGGAAGCCGAAGCATCCTTTATAGTTCAGCACACACACCTGTGCATCATTTTCGCAAAAGTCATGAGGAAACGAGTAGCTCTGCGTTGCAGAGAAGGAGAAAAAGCCGAGGCTACAAGGAAAGCCGATGTTGCGCTCGCTGAGCTAGTCACCAATCTGCCCGAACGACTCCAGTTATCCTCAGGAGATCCAGACATCTGGCAGTCAATGTTCCACATCACATACAACAACTTTCTCATCCTCCTTCATCGGCCGCCACCTCGAGCAGTGCCAGGCCCCGCTTCCATAGAAGCAAGTAACGACCTGACCATATGTTCGGATGCAGCGGCTACAATCGCCTCCATCTTCGAGTCTCTAAGGAAGAGGGAGATGTTGGCCGGCTTATGGCTTCCAAGCCTTCATATGCTGTTCACAGCTCTGGTTCACGCAGCAAGCCAGATGCACTCTAGCAACCCAATCGTCGCAGCCAAGTCGAAGCGCCATACCGAATCCATGATACAGACACTGCATGCAATGAAGTCTCAGTGGTTATACGCGCAAAGTCTGCTGAACCTATTCGAGCCGAGACGGTCAAGAAACCGCGGTCCTGGCCAGCAGTCCACTCAGCTGGATGACGTGAGCAACCGAGTAGGTGGTGGCGGAGAGCAAGATCCTTCCAGGATCTCTCTTCCAACCGACATCCTCAGATTTAACGACCATACCATCGCCGGATCGTCAGCACCCGTGGAGGATGGTCATTTAGTACGGCCTCTTGTTTCCGGCGCAACTTACAGTTCGCAGAGTACAACCATGGCACCAGGCCATAGCCTAGCTCGAGATCCAGTGGAACAATATGCGGCGGCTGTAGTTGGGAACATGTCTCAAGGCGGTCAGCCTTACAGCACTGGCTTCGTAGGAGACGACATGGGCCTTACTGATGCTGATACTATGGACATGCTGCAGCTTCCATCGGCTTTGGAATTCCTGTTGGCAGGTGCAGGCAACAACTTTGACTTCTGATCCTCGTAAAGCATGATAGGAATGCATGTAAGCTAGGATGTGATTCTACTACTTTGTCTTGCTAAACTATGCAGCATGCTCAATATTGTAACAAGTGAAATTTCTCATTCCAATAGACCTTGTCCTGCTTTCATCAAGATTCCCTGACATAGATGACTAGTTTCCCAAGCTATCCAAAACACTTTCACGCCAGTAGTAGAAACCTGCAAGCGCCGCACTTGGGCCCACGGCGAGGCCATTAGCAACGGAACCCAGAGAGCCCATCAATACCTGCTTAGTTGTAACAAATCCCTCTGATCGCAAGTCCCACGCCGATTAGAGAGATAAGGCAGCAGAAGCGATTCCGAAGAGGCCGGTGCTCGTGTTCAAACCATCTGCCAAGATGCTAGATGACCCTGTGGCCAAGATTGGATACAGCGCGCTCGCAACATGGACGGTGGCGCAGGCCCCCACCGCGAATGTATATGCCATCTTGAGCGGCACCACATCCCTCTTGTCATACATGTCAACGAATTCGTTCTTGTCTGTTTCCCTTAAGTCCTTAGTGGCCTTTGTGGATGAAGTCACATGCTTCATCTTCTGTATGACCGAGGCAATGCCGTTGATCAGAACTGCACTGAAGACTGGAGCGGCAGATACAAAGAGATCGATGTTTTGTTGGAGCAGCCGGTCTTGAATTGGCAGACTTGCGATAATCGTGGGGATGGCGTAGCCAAATATGACTGATGGCAGGATTGCTTTGGCGTATTTGACTGGGACGTGTCTACCGGGCAGAGTATTGGTGCCTCGAGTGACTATGCCAAAACCCAGCAGGGGCATGATGGCGTTGGGTCCGAAGACCGTGAAAGCGGCAGCAGAAATCGACGGCCTGCAGTTGTTATCTTAGATCACTGTGTTCATGTTGCAGGGCGTCGAGGGTGGAAAGCTTACCATAGAAGAACCGAAAGCCTGTTGCCGAATCGGTGGCCCTCTGCAAGCCAAATGACTAGAGCAGAGAAGAGGCTTGTCCTTAGTTGGACCTGTTCAACAAGGCTACCAAGCGAGTATGCCTTTTTTAGACTTGATGCTGATTGAGCGAGACCAAGATCCCAATATCTCGACATCCAGAGCCTGACGCTTTCTTTCAACTCAGAGAGGTGGGCAAAGCCGCCAGAGGAGTAGAGCAACGCAGCAAATGAACCAGATGCCAAGATCAGGGCCATTCTTGAGGCTGCTTGACTTGTCATACGTTAGGCAGGAAGTTCATCGTCAAAAGGCACAAGGCGGCGTCGCTGGGGCAAGGGCAGCCTGTAAACTCTGTGGCTAGCCTTGCAACTGGGGATCGCTCTACCGAGGAAACCTTCATCACCCAACAGGGGGGCGAGATACTTGGTGACGATCTTGGAGTACGGTGATCTTCCTGTCAAGACCTGCTGAAGCGCATGGGCATTCGCTACCAATGTCTTCGCTCGCTCGTGGCGGTTGATGTGAACCTGGGCCAAGGCGGCCTCAACACTTTCCGTCGGTTGGACCTTTGGATTCTTTTCCAGCATATCGGTCAGGGCATTTGTAAGGAGTGCCGCAGCCTCCAGGTCGCCGTTGCCTCCTTGACCAGAAATAGGGTCGATCTATGTAGGAGTTCAGCGTCAGTATACAAGACTCAACAGTAGGCGCTGGGATCCAAACCAACCTTATGACTGGCATCGCCGATGCATACGATCCGCTGATAATGCCACTTCTCAAAAACGTACTCCTCCAAAGGCACCAACGTGGCCATGATCTTGTTCTTGTAGATGTCGCCGAACGTGACATTCTCGAAGACTAGATCCTCCCAGTGTTCGAGAGCCAGCTCCTCGGTGTCTTCTTTGGAATACCTTGGTATGTCCTTCCCGTACTTAATGTTACCGACGCCTGAGAAAAAGAACCAGTATGTTCGATTTCCTGGCGCACTGATAATGAGGTAATTTCTTCCTTCGTTGAAGACCAACTATTGATTGTGGATGGGGAGGTTGCTTGGGCGTTTGGAGATGCCGAAGATGCATTTCGTCGCGACGGGTACTCCTAGGCACCAATATTAGGGCTTCAGTCTATATCAAACGAGGATAGTTACTACTGGACCTATGCATCTTCAGACATATACAGCTATTTTGTAGGTCAGGCTTGAGCAACCGGTGACTTACGAGAGTGCTCGTCAACAGGAAAGTAGCCTGGTCGTTCTTCATGACCAATGCGCCACATCTCTTCCCGGACTGTGCTATGGATGCCATCTGCCCCGACCACGATGTCGCCTTCGAAGACGCAGCCATCTTTTGTGTGCACACATACTCCTTCCTTCAGGAGCTCGACCTTTGCGACTCGTTTCTCTGGGATAACTTTGTCTTTGTTCTTCAGGTTGTCGTAGAGAACCTGCAGAAGCATCTGCCTGTCGATGAAGATGGAAGGGTAACCAAGCCTAGTCGGAAGAACGATTATCAGTAACTCTGCTACGTGTTCGTTCGTCCTTGTTCCGGCCTCAGCTTACCGAGCTTCCAGGTGTTGGATATTCACTATGCTAGGCGGGCCCAATGGTTTGCCGTCCGGGCCACAGAGGCTGTTTTTCAGGTGGTATTCTCCAACCATCTCAAGGATTGGTTCGAAACAGCCTAGTTGATCAAGAATACGGAATCCGTTGGGGAGTAAACCAATACTCGCGCCAACCTGCGGCGCAATATCAGGATATGCCTCGAGGAGGGTGTAGTTGATGTTGAGCCTCTCCAGCATGTTAGCTAAAGAGAGGCCCGAGACGCTGCCACCGACAATGATGACTTTGAAGCCCATTGTCACCGTCTTGAAGGGAATATTTGTCGTCGATTCCACTTATAAAGTGGTATCCGAGAAAAGATCAAACGGACGATGGTAAACATTTAAAATTGCTCGAAAGGTCCAACTGAGGGTTCATCTATATATCATCAGTTGCATCGTTTGGCACCATCACGATCCAAGTGCCGCATTGTCGAAGGTGATCATTTCCTGGCAGTTCGAACATCATTATTGGGCAGAAATTGACGGGCCATGCATACAATGGCACGTTGATCCCGACGAGAACAGCTGAAAAATGAGTGTCAACTTCACCGAAAATGTCCGTTTCCCGCCAGCTAGACGACACGGTTTGCTGTCAAAACGACGAAGAGCGAACTATAAGTGCCGGCCTTCGCAATTATTGGCATACCGAACTTGCAACGGAACTTGTCATCCACGACTCGGGTCGTTCCTCATTCCCGGCCGAACAAAGCGGCGGCGCGGGGGCCACTTCCTGCAGGGGACCAGGTCTCAGCGTGGCTCCCCCACACGAAACCGAGCAGCAGGATCTCGGGATTCGGGGCCTGTTTATGGGAGCAGATCCCGAGGTTCTCAAACTATTCACTATCCACCTTCAAAAGAATTGACAGGTACCCCAAACCTGGGGCGTATAGCTCGGCGGGCTAGTCCGCCAACCTTTACCGACCACCTAGTCTTAGACGAGCCCGTTTAACGTCCATGTAGTCTTTCAAGGGTTCTGTTCCCAGTCCACTCGGTGCATAATCATGACTGTTAGGATGTTGTATATGGCATAGCAAACCTGGCGATCCCATAGAAGGCCATGCCACTTGCCAAGCGTGGTGTTGAGGGGTGTGTCGAACGTACGCATCATGTTCGGATGGAGTTCATCTAGGCTCTCGAAAAAGGAATCGAGTGACTACGGATACAGAAGTAAGGCAGAACTGAATAAGTGAAGATCAAAATGCGACCTGTGCCTGCCATCTGCCCTTGCTTTTACCAAATGGTTGCGTTATTCTCAACATTGATATCAGCGAACAAAATTGAGAGGCCGCTCAACTGACTTTCATGCCCTATTCTCGGTCACAGGTGACGTACAACTAGCGAAGATGGTTCCGCTAATCACGTCTTCTATTCCGAACTTGTTCCTACGCTAGTATATCTGTAGAGCGGTTGCGCCGGCTCGATATCTGTTCAAGCATTAGGTTAGGACATCTGGTTGGCACATCAGCTTCACAGAGCACTGTCCTGTGTACCTAGGTCAAGCAAGCTGCTGAACGCGCTTCCATCGGACCATCATCTCCCGATCGCCGGCTGAGTAGACGTGACACAACTTGACGACTAAAGCTCATGCGAACATGAAATATGAATGAACCTTAGACAAGTACAGCCCCAATCAGGACCAAGGAATGCCCCGTGGGGCAAGGCTGTAAGGCGAACTACAACCTCAGGTGATTCGGTTTAGCTTTCCAGACTTGGCAAGGAACCCCGATATCATATTGTTGCGTAATTTAGAACATTTGGCTTAGACGTTGAGTGCTACTGGTATCCAGCCTTCCGATACTCGCCTACTTCTCTTTTGGAAACACCGAGGCATAGCCTTGAGGATGAGGACGGTGGTTTGGACATGTGGATGATGTGGTCTGGTGGTTTGGTTATGAGGCAGTATATGTACTCATGTCAAGAAGACAGATTTGGCCGCTTACGACGGAGCATTTTTGCTCTTGTGAATTGAAAGAAGGTCATTCTCCGTGAGTCCAGCCAGCTTGTGGAGTATCCTTCGGGGTACATCGTAGGAAGATATGCTACTTGCACATTGCTCTCGCCTCTTGAAAACAACCTAGATTGTGTACAGCTGGACCCCTTCCATACTATTCCCTTCCAATCCATGTAGTAGATTGCCCACTTTGTTCAAGCATTGAGAGGATCCCTCTCAACTCAGGCTGGCCGGCTTGCCTTGGCTTTCGATCAGGCTCGCGCAAGCGACTATGGATTGCAGCTTCGGTAGCCAAAGCATTGTCCAATGTCCCCCATGCGTATGGTTTGCTATTTTGGCCAAAACCGGTCGTGACAACGAAAAGTTGGTTGTGAAAAAGAGATCAAGAGATGAGGCCGTCCCGGCCTTGATGCGCGACGCTGGTGAATAAAATAAGAGATCTCAGTCATCCGAAGGAAAGTCACTTCATGCTCAACCCGCCAAACACTCGGTCTAGCTCCGCGCCTTGGTCATTCAACGGCATCTCACTGGTCCCCGCTACAGCTGATGTCTGATGCCCATCCTCCTCCTCAGATGGACCGCCCACCTTCTCCGGCTCGAGGATCCGGGCTTCACTGTCTAGCCAGCCGGGCGCAACCCTTCTCTTCTCAGCCAGCTCTCGCTCTTTTATCCTGGTCTCGAGGTCCCGCAAGTCACGCTCGGCGTCCTCCTGCATCTTTGTGATGTGTGCTTGTAGCGCGCGACAAGAGGCGATAATATCGTCCGGATGTGCTGCGTGTCCCGACTGCGAGATCACATACTTGGGCTTATTTGCGGAGGCGTCCCCGGCTGCTGCATCCTCGGTGACGGCGGCTGGCACGCCTGTGGCTGAGGGAGGCAGGGCTGAGGGCATAGCCTTATAGTTGTAGGAGAGTGTTGTAGCGGTGGGGAGGGAGATGAACGGAGAGACGGTCAAGGGGACCTGCTCGAGGAGCGGATGGGAGCCTATCGTGATGATTAGTAACTAGAGCTACGGAAAGGCACATGGGGAGAGGAATGGTACGTACGGTTGCTATACATGGTGGGTAGCTAGTCTTGCCTTGAGTACGTAGGTGTCAGTGTGCAAATGAGGGTGGAACAGGACTATATGAGCCGTTTTGAGGGTCATACAAGCTTGTTTAGGGTAGCAATAGTTCTCTTTAGAATTTCCTGATACCCAGATAGGCCGATCAAGAGCGTGGGTGCAGGTTATTTGGTTATTTGTGTTTGCGCCAGTTGAGGGGGATTCGTCAGGTCTACGCCTTGGAAAGAGGTGCGATGCGAATGCGTAGCTGTCCGAGGCAACGGAGTGCGATCGGACTCTGGGAGAATGTCGGTGGAGAGCTCAGACCCCACCGAGCGTTGTACCTTACCTTCCAGGTTAGTGGGGCGTGTGGATCGGCCTAACCCTGCTGACCAATGATCAGTCACCTGACAACCCGACCACCCCGATTACCTCAGACCCCACCTTCCACATGGTACCAGGTACCTTAGGGTTCCTGAATGTCACTCCCTTTATCAATATCATCACGTGGTGATAGCGATAAGAGCTTCACTTTCTCCAGCTTCAAGGCAAGCACCCCACCATGAAGGGTCTCACGGGTCAGCCCAAGCAGAGTCCTTTCAAGGATCTCTTACACATCATCAACATGCTGCCCACAACCATTCGCTCTCCTCCCTCGCTGGAGGACTTTACTCCAATTGAGGAGCATCAGTCGGCTACTCCTGCAAGCTTCTTTGGAGGAAAGCCCGTTCTTCATTTCCATCTCGAGGGTGCCAAGGCATGGATCCCGGCGTCGCAAAAGGGCAGCTTGGCTATTTTCCCGGCTGATGTCTCGACTACTGTCTCTGCTCCCGATGGCACGACTTTGAAGGAGACCACAGAGGAGCATGTGGAGCAGCATGTCTCCGTATTTGTCTCTTCAGAGTATGTTTCGCTACACACCGACACTCGCGTTACCTTATACTGATTCGCGCCATAGGACCTTTACTATCTTCTCTGCGACCCAAGGTGCTGGCGTTCAGATCCCCTATCCCTCCATCTCAATTCACGCCGTGAAGTCGGTCGGATCCATCTCCGAAGGTACCCCTCTCCAGGCTATCTGGATGCAGCTACAGCTTGCCGACGGCGGTGACGGCGACGATGACTTCGATACGATCGATCTGACTCTCGTCCCTGCGGTCACTGCTGGCGCCCAGGCCGATATCCAGAAGTTCTACGATGCGATCTCAGCCTGCTCAGATCTTCACCCCGATCCCGTCGACGAAGATGATGAGGAAGACGACGGCCGCATCATTTTCGAGGGCGAGCACGAGCCAGTCGAGGGATACGAAGGAGTTCTCTACGGCGCCGCCGATGGAGGCTTGCCTCCTGCCTTCCCTGGAAGTGGAGGCTGGATTACGGCTGAGAACGTCCACGAGCACTTCGACGCCGACGGTAACTGGATCGGTCAGAATGGCAACGAGGACGAGGAGGAGGACGGTGGTCAGCTGGGAGAGGGAGCAGGTCGGGTTCGCGGTCACGACGAGGCCAACAACGGCGTCAATGGTCACGATGACCCGGGCAATAAGCGCCCGCGCGTCGACGAGTCATAAGTGCGAACCGCGAATGAGGCTTGGGAATTGACGAGGAACGACTTGATACCATGGATAGGACTCGGGCTCATTAAACCGACGTAAGAATACCATTCTTTTTCTTCGCATAGAATCGCAATCAACTGTCACCGTTCGGTTTGAAGGGAATTTGGCTTATTTTTGTGGTATGGTTCGTTGATTTGAGTGATGGTTGTATCTGAATCTTGCTAATGGCCTACTGCCTAGATATTACAATGACGCCGTGCTCAGCTTAGAAATATTCAACCCTGAAGAAAGTACTCGCTAACCGTCGCTGAACGCAACACCCCTCAATCGATATAGATCACTATGGGACAAAGGAAAATTCACCAGACTCGAGAACTCAAACCCTCATGTTTGGGCTCTGTCTCTCGGCCCCCGCAGTGAGGCTGTCTGGGGAGCTTAGCAGGTAGTCATCTTTCCCGTATGCGCCCAAGCTGGTACCGCTGTCTTGGTGCTTGATCGGCCTCTCCACATGCTTCTGGTCTTCTCTATCATTGTTGGAGATTCTTCTCCGGGTGGGACTTTCCACCGTCACCACGCTGTCTCTAGCCAACCCTCGTCCAGCGCTCCGAGGTGTCGGGTTGAGCGGCCGGGGACCTCGAATCAGAGAACCGTTTCTTCTCTCATTTTCCTTCTCTTCAACTGCAGCGCGTAGCGAATCGAGATGCTTGTTTCCCCCTGGTCGGCTCTTCAGCACGGCGATTGAGTTTCTAGCTGATTTGATGGACTTAGTCCGCTTCGCTGAGCCTGGACTCGTGCCCAGGGACAAGTAGTTTTGTCGACCCATCTTGCTTACCCGGCTGTTGCTCCTGTCGGGACTGAATCCGCCTCCTCTCAAATTTGGTAGTGTCGGACTGTCCGGATCCGAAATAGATGAACCGGCGCTGAAGGTGCTCATTTGGCTGTTCATACGTCGAAGCTGAGCCACGGTTGACTGAAGTCCCATTACTGCGAAGTCGCGATGGTAGGAGTTCCGCTTAGGTGAGCTGGACGGCTTCAGCACGATGGAAGGGCAATCAGAACTCGAGAGGACACGCTCGACGCGGGATTCTCTGGGCGTCGGCTGTCTGGACAACGCGCGGTCACGAATCGGGCTAGCCATCCCACGCTTGTATCGTCTTGGTGTCGGAGATCCTCCCCTTGACAGGTCGGGGCTCGGTAGCGGTCTCCGAGTCGGCGAGCTAGGAACGGGAGATGTGGTCGAGTCGGTCGATTGACGACCAACACGACTTTGAGGGGAAGGGCTGCCGCGTGATGCCGACATTTTCCCGCCCGGGCTACCTATTGTCAAGACCTCTCGGTTTGGCGATCCCGGGCCAGCTTTCAAGGCCAAGGGCGGTGGGAAGACCGGTGCCTTTGGGCCGAATGTTAACCTGTTATTCGGCATAGCTGGCCGGCTACCATTATCCTCCGGAGATGTGCCAGGGCTGGCCCTCATGCTCACAACGCTGTTACTTGATACGAGGAAGACGGGCTTCATCGACATGACGCTCTTGGGGCGTATGGTCTCGGGCGATGCCGCTAGGTCGGATGGTTGCATCATGATGGAGTACCGTGTCTGGAGCTGATCTGCCGTGCTGCTGCGCTTGATGACATCCAGCGGCCTCGGCACGGGAGAGTTGGCAACAGGTGTCGTTTTCGTAGGTGTTCGGTTCAGGATATCCTCTTCGGATGGCGTCAGGCGTCGGAGAGGCGGCAAGCTGGAAGACTGGCGTTTGGGACTCCTCGGAGGCACTTCTGGCGGGCCAGGCGTGATGAACGGGTCGCAAATCTGAGTATCGATGACAAGGCTCTTGAGTTTCCTGCCGCGAGGGGTACCCTCTAAGTGCCCCGTGCCGCCGGTCTTGCTATCATCTTCGGGTTCATTAACACTATACAAGGTTGATAGAGACGATGAGGCATCGCTTCCAGGGGATTCTATCGATTCGCCGTTGTCGGTAGGCTTGGTCGGCGACTCGTGCTCGGATCGTCTGCTGGGGCTTGATAGTCCTGTTGGCAAGATATGCTCAACTTCCGGTGTCGTTTCACCAAACAAGCTATCTGCATCTGAGACAGCTGAAGACTGCGAAGTGGTCCTGTTGTGGTGCTTGGGAGTCTGAACAAGCATTGGGACAATCATTCGCTTCGACGGGCTGGGTGTTCGAGCTCGCTGGGCGTTGAGGTCCAAAGCCTGGCCAACGTGCGACAACACTTGAGTCTTTTCTGGAGATCGTGATCGGACGGGCGACTGGTTCTTGACTGGTGACGGGATCTTGATCGGTGACTGGGCCTTAATGGGAGACTGCGACTTTGTCGGCGACCCACGCGGGGTCTTGACGCTGGATCCAGCTGATGCCGATGCAGCCCTCTGTCGTGTGGCCGGCCGGCTGTTGGTTGGTGTCCCGAGCTGCAATCTCTCCTCCGTGGAACGCAAGATCTCAGCCAGGTCAGACTCCGTCGTCTTGTGCCGCAGCCGCTGCAACGGCACCGGTCGAGTTACGGGTCCCTGTGGGCTCGGAAGCACGGGCGGTCCGCCCCTCGCTGCAGCCGCCAGCTTCTCAGCCAGCTCATATGATGCCGTCCTCGGCAACGGCATCCGCAAAGGCTGGCCACGCTGTGCCGGCATGCTGACCGGCCGAGGCTGTTCGATGGAGTAATTCGCAAAATCGTCGTCGAAATGTCCATCCCCCTCACCCTTGTGCCCAAACAGATCCGGTAACGTCGGCGTGCGGAGGATGAAGCTGTCGCGAATGCTCAGCCGCCGACCATCGCTCTGCACTCTGGGCCCGTGAATCGCATCCTCGTCGATCCAGCTGTTATTCCTCCTCAGGTGTCCTCCGCGCTGCTGCCCACCAGCACCCTCCGAGGGCGTGCTGCTGAAAACGCTCCAGCTCTTGCTCCTGGGCACGCTGATGATGGACGAGAGCGAGCGGTGGGAAGGCTGCTTCTTCCCCTGGACCTCGACCATGTCAGCGTACGGCTCGCCCGGCTTCGGCTTCGTGAGGCGCCGCGGACGCGGGCTGGGCGTGCGGATCGAGCCGCCGTCCGAGTCGAGGTCGAGTCTCGTCCTGGGCGTCGTCGATCGGTCTCGGGTGCGGGCTCGGTGGCGGCGGCCTGCTAAAGCGATGAGGAAGAAGGCGAGGCATATGAAGAGGAGGACGCCGCCTCCTATGGCGATGGCGAGGACGAGTGGTAGGGTCATGCCGCCGCCGCTTCCGCCTCCTGCTCCGTCTACCTCCTCGCGGACGCGGAGTAGCAGGCTCGACATCACCGGGGAGAGATTGTGATGTCGTGATATGGTTTGGTGGGTTTGGTGTCTTCAGGCGAGATCTAATGGTTGACTGAGGGATTGTAGGTGATGAGATCACTGGCCAGGAATCGGGTCTCTCATGGCGTGAGTGTGTTCTCGGTATTCACAGTTGGCTTCCCCCTTCTTTCGTCTTCTG